GTTCCATGAAGCCAAGTGGCAAGGTTTCATTAAACCAAGTGGCAAGGTTTCAATAAACCAAGTGGCAAGGTTCCATGAAGCCATGGCAAGGTTTCATTAAACCAAGTGGCAAGGTTTCAATAAACCAAGTGGCAAGGTTCCATGAATCCAAGTAGCAAGGTTTCATGAAGCCAAGTGGCAAGGTTTCATTAAACCAAGTGGCAAGGTTTCAATAAACCAAGTGGCAAGGTTCCATGCAGCCAAGTGGCAAGGTTCCATGAAGCCAAGTGGCAAGGTTTCATGAAGCCAAGTGGCAAAGTTTTAATAAACCAAGTGGCAAGTCTCCATAAAACCAAGTGGCAAGGTTTCTTAAAGCCAAGTGGCAAGGCTCTATGAAGCCAAGTGGCAAGGCTCCATAAAACCAAGTGGCAAGGTTTCATAAGGCCAAGTGGCAAGGTTTCATAAAGCCAAGTGGCAAGGTTTCATAAAGCCAAGTGGCAAGGTTTCATAAAGTCAAGTGGCAAAGCTCCAAGAAGCCAAGTGGCAAGGTTCCATGAAGCCAAGTGGCAAGGTTCCATGAAGCCAAGTGGCAAGGTTTCATAAAGCCAAGTGGCAAGGTTCCATGAAGCCGTGGCAAGGTTTCATAAAGCCAAGTGGCAAAGCTCCATGAATCCAGGTGGCAAGGTTTCATAAATCGAAGTGGCAAGGTTCCATGAAGCCGTGGCAAGGTTTCATAAAGCCAAGTGGCAAAGCTCCATGAATCCAAGTGGCAAGGCTCCAAGAAGCCAAGTGGCAAGGCTCCAAGAAGCCAAGTGGCAAGGTTTCATAAATCCAAATAGCAAGGCTCCATGAATCCAAGTGGCAAGGCTCCATGAATCCAGTTGGCAAGGTTTCAATAAACCAAGTGGCAAGGTTCCATGAAGCCAAGTGGCAAGGCTCCATGAAGCCAAGTGGCAAGGCTCCATCAAGCCAAGTGGCAAGGTTCCATGAAGCCAAGTGGCAAGGCTCCATGAAGCCAAGTGGCAAGGTTCCATGAAGCCAAGTGGCAAGGCTCCATGAAGCCAAGTGGCAAGGCTCCATAAAGCCAAGTGGCAAGGCTCCATGAAGCCAAGTGGCAAGGCTCCATGAAGCCAAGTGGCAAGGCTCCATGAAACCAAGTGGCAAGGCTCTATGAAGCCAAGTGGCAAGGCTCCATGAAACCAAGTGGCAAGGCTCTATGAAGCCAAGTGGCAAGGCTCCATGAAGCCAAGTGGCAAGGCTCCATGAAACAAAGTGGCAAGGCTCTATGAAGCCAAGTGGCAAGGTTTCATGAAACCAAGTGGCAAGGGTCCATGAAGCCAAGTGGCAAGGTTTCATGGAACCAAGTGGCAAGGCTCCATGAAGCCACGTGGCAAGGCTCCATGAATCCAAGTGGCGAGGCTCTATGAAGCCAAGTGGCAAGATTTCGTGAAACCAAGTGGCAAGGCTCCATGAAACCAAGTGGCAAGGCTCCATGAAGCCAAGTGGCAAGGCTTTACTGAAAAACAAATGTTTGAAGAGGCTGATTGTATGTGGCAAAAAGAAAAAGCACAAATATTGTGTAAACAGGAAACCAGTTGTGTGGCACAGAAAGACCAGATGAAAGTCAACTCCTGCTGAGCACACTGAGTATCGAGACACTGAAATGGCTGCTGCATAGGAGGACTCATGTGCTAGGATATCGATACAGACAAGTTGTGAACATGCACAAACATCACTGTGACACTCAAAGAGTGTAAAGAACAATGTCAAGTGCCTGTTGTGTTTTCTTTTGCCAATTTAATTAAGGAACAGTAAGATAGCCATATTTGTCTGTGTGTTGGAAAGAACAAAGGAAGAAATATGTGTATCACAAGTCATAGCTACCACTGCACACACACACAGTGTTTGCCTGTATTGATCTTATTCTGCTTTTTATCCCCACTGGAGCATAGGAACTCAACCAATCAATACACCTCTACAGAGACATATCTCAAAGTTAATTCTTCATTTTTTAAAGGAGCAGAGATTCATAACAAAAATGTAATCTCTCCAAGACAAGGACTGGTCTATTCAAGACAAATGTCTGTCATATGTCATAGGAAGTGTAGATAGACATCTGTCACAGGTGGTAGGTAGTCTGTAGGAAGTGCAGACAGACATGTCACAGGTGGTAGGTAGTCTGTAGGAAGTGCAGACAGACATGTGTCACAGGTGGTAAGTAGTCTGTAGGAAGTGCAGACAGTCATGTGTCACAGGAAGTAGGTAGTCTGTAGGAAGTGCAGACAGTCATCTGTCACAGTTGGTAGGTAGTCTGTCATCATCATGTAGCAGGTCCTTTGCAGAACGTCGCTCTCATCACAGTCTGCCTGTAAGAAACTCTGTCTCTTGCCAGTTCTCCCGCCTCATGAACTTTCACACTCAAGGAGCCACTTATATCCTGTGCACATCTTCGTGTCGGTCGGCCTCTGCCCCTCCTTCCTGGTACCATGCCTTCTGCTATAATTATTTCCAATCCGTCGTGGCGCTTGATATGGCCAAAATATTTCAGCTTTCGAGACAAGATGCTGTTTATTAGCCAATCTTCCTTGATGTTCAGATCTTTTAAGATGTCAATATTTCTCATCTTCTTTGTCCAAGATATTCTAAGAATCTTACTATAGCATTTCAGCTCAAAAGCCCCTATTCTCTTTCTTAAGGACTGAGAGATAGCCTACGACTCACATCCGTATGTTGTTACAGGGAAGATGTATGCTCTCAAAATTTTAATTTTTATCACCTTGCTGTTGCTTAACCATAGACTTTTAAGGCTGTTCAATCTTTGCATTGCTATAGCCATCCTCCTTTTAATTTCTGTCGAACAGTCTCTATTGTTGTTTATTATAGAACCTAGATATTCAAAGTTTGTGACATTTTCAATTTCTTCATCATTTATTGTTATTTTTGGGTGACAGCCAATTTTATCTGTGGACATTATTTTCGTTTTCTTTAAATTCAAGAATATATTTTGATCTTCACTGTGCTTTTGGACGGACGATATTAAATTTTCTATTCCCTTTACGCTGTTCGAAAGAAGGACTGTCATCTGCGTAGTAGAGTTTCGAAATAGTGTTGCCACCAATTTTGAGCGGATCATAACTGTCACAAGTCTGGTCATTTTTGACATTTCTCATTATATTTTCTTCGTATATATTGAATACTTATGGTGAGAGAATGCACCCCTGCCTCACCCCCTTTTGCACCTCGAACCAATCAGATGTTTCACCAGCTGCTCTGATGGCTGCTTGTTGTTCATGATAGAGATTTTCAATTAAATGCGCTGGAAACCCCATACTTTTCATAATAGTCCACAGTTGGTGGTGCTGGACACAATCAAATGCCTTGCTACAATCAATTAAACAAGCATGAAGATCTATATTGTATTCTCTGCATTTTTCAAAAATTATTCTCATCTAGTAAGTGCAAAAAGACATCTGTCACAGGTGGTAGGTAGTCTGTAGGAAGTGTAGACAGACACCTGTCACAGGTAGTAGGTAGTCTGTAGGAAGTGCAGACAGACATCTGTCACATGTGGTAGGTAGTCTGTAGGAAGTGTAGACAGACATCTGTCACAGGTGGTAGGTAGTCTGTAGGAAGTGCAGACAGTCATCTGTCACAGGTGGTAGGTAGTCTGTAGGAAGTGTAGACAGTCATGTGTCACAGGTCACAAGTGGTAGGTAGTCTGTAGGAAGTGTAGACAGTCATGTGTCACAGGTGGTAGGTAGTCTGTAGAGAGTGTGGACAGTTAAAGACATCTGTTTATTTGTGAGTACTGGCAGTGACAGCCATCTATGTGCGGTCAGGTGAGACTGAGTGTACAGTGACGAAGGTTACAGACACAGGCAAACACGAACAACAAACATAAGTGGGTCAGCACAGCCATCCTTTGTTGGATGTTAGCAGCTGGCAACATGATGTTCTTCTGTTGGAGAACTCTGAGATTCCAATGTGTCATAGGTCACTAATATGGCATGGCTACAATGTAATGTTGGGTCACATTTAATCATGTTTTTTATAATGTTAGGTCACTGCTTTCTGTGAATCATACTGTTAGGTCATTTTTATTTGGTCAGTTACAGTGTTATGTTACATCACTAGTATATGTTACAATGTAAGGTCACTTTTGTTACCATTTGTTACAGTGTAATATGAAGTCATCTTTAGTACTGTCTGTTCTCGTGTAATGTTAGTGCTGTTACTAGTGCTGTCTGCTGCCCTGTAATCTTATGTTACTAGTGCTGGCTGCTGCCATGTATTCTTATTGTTCAAGTACTATCTGCCGCCATGTAATCTTATGTTTCAAGTACTGTCTGTCGCCATGTAATCTTATGTTTCAAGTACTGTCTGTCGCCATGTAATCTTATGTTACTAGTGTTGTCTGTTTAGAGTGTAATGATAGTTCACTGTATATGTTCGATATACAAGTCTACTCAGATAAACATTAGGCCACAATGACTTTGTAAACAAACAAAACAAAACCCCCAAAATATATAATTTTGTTAAACACACCAGATAATCTGTGGATATAGAAGATGAGCATGTAGCAGTGTATGCTGGGACAAAGATTAAATGATAATCTGCAGATATAGAAGATGAGCATGTAGCAGTGTTTGCTGGGACAAAGATTAGGTGATAATCTGCAGATATAGAAGATGAGCTGGTAGCAGTGTATGCTGGGACAAAGATTAGGTGATAATCTGTGGATATAGAAGATGAGCATGTAGAAGTGTATGCTGGGACAAAGATTAGGTGATAATCTGTGGATATAGAAGATGAGCTGGTAGCAATGTATGCTGGGACAAAGATTAGGTGATAATCTGCGGATATAGAAGATGAGCTGGTAGCAGTGTATGCTGGGACAAAGATTAAGTGATAATCTGCGGATACAGAAGATAGACATGTAGCAGTGTATGCTGAGACAAAGATTAAGTGATAATTTGTGGATACAGAAAATGGGCTGGTAGCAATGTATGCTGAGACAAAGATTAAGCCAAAATGGCAGACTTCATCCTTTCTATCCCCGTGAGGGTGAGATTATTCTCAATTTGTGTTTTAGCTGGTGAAGCTAACTTCTGACGTATGTCCATACATTGGTTATCCAAACGTAGAGATTGAGTTTTGAGTGCAATATCATCATTGAGGCGATGCAGATTCTTGTACAAGCCATCCAGAGCATGTCTGCAGAAATAAACAGATAAGATTATCAAATATTTTTGATGTTTTAAAGCAGCATTCACCATCACATACAAAACTTTACAGTTACACTGGACCTCAGATATTACATCCAACCTATGAAATTAGATGACTGCAGATATCACATCCAACCTGTGAAATTAGATGACTGCAGATATCACATACAAACTATACAGTTAGTCCGGATCAAAGATATCACATAAACAATTAGATGGTCTGCAAATATCACATATAAACTATACAATTAGATTACTGCAGATATCACATCACAATCTATACAGTTAGACCAGACTACAGATATCACATCACATACAAATTATACTCTTATCGCAAATAAATTATACAATTAAACCAGACCACAGATATCACATAAAAATAATACAGACTGGACCACACATATCACATCATATACAAATTATACAGTTAGACTGGAACACAGATATCACATCATATACAAATTATACAGTTAGACTGGAACACAGATATCACATCATATACAAATTATACAATTAGACTGGAACACAGATATCACATCATATACAAATTATACAGTTAGACTGGAACACAGATATCACATCATATACAAATTATACAGTTAGACTGGAACACAGATATCACATCATATACAAATTATACAGTTAGACTGGAACACAGATATCACATCATATACAAATTATACAGTTAGACTGGAACACAGATATCACATCATATACAAAGTATACAGTTAGACTGGAACACAGATATCACATCATATACAAATTATACAGTTAGACTGGAACACAGATATCACATCATATAGAAATTATACAGTTAGACTGGAACACAGATATCACATCATATACAAATTATACAGTTAGACTGGAACACAGATATCACATCATATACAAATTATACAATTAGACTGGAACACAGATGTCACATCATATACAAATTATACAGTTAGACTGGAACACAGATATCACATCATATACAAATTATACAGTTAGACTGGAACACAGATGTCACATCATATACAAATTATACAGTTAGACTTGAACACAGATATCACATCATATACAAATTATACAATTAGACTGGAACACAGATGTCACATCATATACAAATTATACAGTTAGACCGGAACACAGATGTCACATCATATAGAAATTATACAATTAGACTGGAACACAGATGTCACATCATATACAAATTATACAGTTAGACTGGAACACACATATCACATCACATACAAATAATATAGTTAGATCAGACCACATATACCATATCACACACAAGCTATACAGTGAGATCAGACCACATCACATATAAACTATACAGCTAAACAGACCACAGATATCACATTTGAAACTAACTATACGATCTGAGACTGATGTAGCGACATACGAGGGGAAGTTGGTAAGTAAGTAACATATGGTTATAGGTTGGCAGGAAAATGTAGGTGGTGGTTTCTAAAGGTGTCATTAGGTGACAGCAACATCGAACTTTTTGTCTCAGAATGGTGACTAGTTACAGAGTGTACCCTGAAATCACAAAAGCATGTTTTTTTTTTTTTTTTCAGCAAAAGAGCTTCCTGTTTATGGTGAAAAATGTTTATCCTGTAAAGCAATAGCAATGCGTAGCTGGGGAAAGAATTTTCCTCAAGGACGCTCTAAGAGTGTTGATGAAGTCCGATCTGGTCGCCCTGTTGAGATTGCAACAGATGTGTCCCTGCAGCGGATAGAAGAGATGATTAGAGGTGGCAACAGGTTAGTTGACTCTGTAGCAGCTGCACTAGGGTGCTCACATGGTTTTCGGTCCAGTGATCACCAACCTTGGCGGGAGACATTTCACGAATGACACAGAAGTTGAATGTGAAGTGAAAATGTGGTTTAGAAAACAGCATGCAGTTCTGGACAACAGGTTTGGGAGGACTGATTAATGATTTGATTCAAGAAACGACATCACAGCACTCAGGGCATTCCCATAAGCACTCCTTCCCATCTTCAGCAGTCAGCAAAGAGTTCTGATACTAATGGTACCAGTAGCATTCGGATTAAACGTCCGTCTTGCCTTTCCTCTGAGCCTCGAGCATCTGCCAGAACCTCTCGTCACTTCCCCCAGCATCAATCTCGCCAGACTGTGGTGATCCATCTGCTTCTCCGAACTGTACACGCTCTCCCACAAGGCACTAACCACATCTGCCCTATCATGTATCAGTATTTCACCAGGTTGTGCAGAGCCAGCCAGTCTGTCTGCCTGTTTATTTCCCAACACACCAGCGTTACTTGGTGAAAAAATCCAGACAATACTCCTCACCCGTGTCCTCCACTGCGAGGCATGCCAATCTGCACGAAGCATACCTGTCCTGATCTTCCTCAGCATGCTTTCTGAGTCAGTTACAATCACGATGTATGTGTGTGTCGTGTTCTCTAACCAGCGGAAAGCTGCAGTGATCGCCTCCACCTCCATTCTAATTTGTAACCCTTTGAAAATAAAGTTTGTTCATTCTTAAGCTGGATGTTGTGGTATCATATGCTAGGCTTTCCTGCACCAAACGTCGACCATTACATTTTGCTAAGAAACCCCAAGCACTTCTTTTGCCTTTTGACACTGAACCATCTGTGTAAATGATCAAATCCTCTGAGCGAGCATTATCTTGAATAAATTGCTGAATTTCCACCTCTGTGGCACCTGCTGGCCAGTCTCTGCATTCCATGCTCAATGTGATTATGACCCTACACAAATCTGACTGTTCAGTTGGAACTTTGACCCACTCCTCTCCTCGCCTAATCTTCTCCATGACTTTCCTCTTATCAGCCGCTGACCCTTAACTGCACCCAGAGCATCGTGCAAAGGGTGGTCTGTGTCTGCAGCTACCCTGAGATATGACTTCGCCTGCAGCACCTTGTGCCTACCTGCAACAGTCGGCAAACCAAGGCTGTATCGCATACACACCACTGGGGTGTCTCTGGTGCAACCCAGAATGACCCGCATAGCTGCGTTTTGTATGCGCTCTAGTTTTTCCATCAGACTCTTTGAGACGGTAAGCAGTCCCAGGCCATAATCAACCACTGACAGGATCTGGTGCTGATATAGTGTGAAAAGCATTCTCTGCTCTATTGCACCCATAGTCTTAAGTGCACTAAGTAATTTTTGGCATCTTGTCACAACACTCTCCACATGGTCCTTAAAGGATAGGCTCCTGTTAAATGTAATTCCTTGATACTTCAGTTTGCTCTCTCTGTTGACGTTTCTACCATCTACAAGGTCCGACAATTAAGTAATGAGATTGATTTTATTATGGCCAAAACAAAAATGTCTTATATGAAGCAAAGCATGGAATCCAAAGAGGCAACCTTCATCTATAATCTGGCAACTTTGCATCGCCACCTAATAATCAGACGACAAACAAGCCGCCATTTTATTGACCTAGTTAGATTTGCATTGTTACAAAATTCGCATGAATCAAAAAGCTAACATTAAATTATGTTTAAAACTCAGAAAAAGCGCCATTGAGACAGTTGAATTAATGCGACAAGTTTATGGGGATAATTGTTTATCTCATGCACAGATTTTGAGGTGGTATTCACGATTCAAAAATGGTGTAGCAATGATTACTAATGCAACTAGACCTAGACGCCCAGTTTCTGTTCGTAACGATGAACTCATTGCAAAAGTCAGAGAACGGATACAATAAGATCGTTGTTTAAATGAGAGGATGATGGCGGATGAATTTGATGTTGATAGAGAGACCATTCGTACAATTTTAGTGGAAGATTTAGGCTAGTAAAAAGTTGCTTCCCGGTTTGTACCAAATTCCTTGTCTGTTGACCAAAAACTTCAGCGTACTGAGTAGGCAAAAGACATCATCAAAACGTGTCACAGAAATAAAGATTTCTTAAATTTGATTGTTGCAGAGGATGAAACATGGATTTTTTGCTATGAGACCACAACTAAACGCCAAAGTGCTCAGTGGAAGTCATTATCATCACCAAAAGGCAAACAAATCCGTCTTTAAAAGTAGAAGTGAAGACAATGTTTGTGTGCTTCTACTACAGCAGAGATTTGTCTCGCTGTGATTATTTTCTATTCCCAAAATTAAAGTTACCCTTGAAAGGATGCTTCTTTGGCGATACTGATGACATCCAAAGGGCCGTAACATCGACTTTAATGGCCATAACAACAGAAGAACTACAGGGGTCGTTCCAGTGTTTGTTAGATCCTGCCATTTGCTGTATCAATTCACAAGGGGCTCACTTTCAATTAGATACAGGTTATATCTTCAACTGCTGATTATTTTAATTTTTATACAATTAGTCTCATTACTTAATTGTCGCACCTTGTATGAGGACTGATTAAACGATGGGACAAGGGAATCAAAGTTGGTGAAATTATGTTGAGAAACGAAGGTACAGTGTATGTGTAAAAATAAACAGTTTTAAAGTTGTTACCTCTTTAGTTTTATTTTTCTAAACAGCTTTTTGTGACTTACTTATTGGTTTTCCCTTGTATATCTTTAACATGACATTGATGTGGTGACATATATCTTTAACATGACATTGATGTGGTGGAATATATCTTTAACATGAGATTGATGTGGTGACATATATCTTTAACATGACATTGATGTGGTGGAATATATCTTTAACATGGGATTGATGTGGTGGAATATATCTTTAACATGGGGTTGATGTGGTGGAATATATCTTTAACATGACATTGATGTGGTGGAATATATCTTTAACATGGGATTGATGTGGTGGAATATATCTTTAACATGACATTGATGTGGTGGAATATATCTTTAACATGGGATTGATGTGGTGGAATATATCTTTAACATGGGATTGATGTGGTGGAATATATCTTTAACATGGGATTGATGTGGTGGAATATATCTTTAACATGGGATTGATGTGGTGGAATATATCTTTAACATGACATTGATGTGGTGGAATATATCTTTAACATGGGATTGATGTGGTGGAATATATCTTTAACATGACATTGATGTGGTGGAATATATCTTTAACATGGGATTGATGTGGTGGAATATATCTTTAACATGGGATTGATGTGGTGGAATATATCTTTAACATGGGATTGATGTGGTGGAATATATCTTTAACATGGGATTGATGTGGTGGAATATATCTTTAACATGGGATTGATGTGGTGGAATATATCTTTAACATGGGATTGATGTGGTGGAATATATCTTTAACATGGGATTGATGTGGTGGAATATATCTTTAACATGAGATTGATGTGGTGGAATTTATCTTTAACATGACTGATGTGGTGGAAAATATCTTTAACATGAGATTGATGTGGTGACATATATCTTAAACATGAGATTGATGTGGTGACATATATCTTTAACATGAGATTGATGTGGTGGAATATATCTTTAACAGATTGATGTGGTGGATGGAATATATCTTTAACAGATTGATGTGGTAACATATATCTTTAACATGAGATTGATGTGGTGATATATATCTTTAACATGAGATTGATGTGGTGACATGTATCTTTAACATGAGATTGATGTGGTGGAATAAATCTTTTACAAGAGATTGATGTGGTGACATATATCTTTAACAGATTGATGTGGTGGAATATATCTTTAACATGAGATTGATGTGGTGGAATATATCTTTAACATGACATTGATGTGGTGGAATATATCTTTAACATGACATTGATGTGGTGGAATATATCTTTAACATGAGATTGATGTGGTGGAATATATTACATGAGATTGATGTGGTAACATATATCTTTAACATGAGATTGATGTGGTGACATATATCTTTAACATGAGATTAATGTGGTGACATATATCTTTAACATGAGATTGATGTGGTGGAATAAATCTTTTACATGAGATTGCTGTGGTGGAATATATTACATGAGATTGATGTGGTGGAATATATCTTTAACATGAGATTGATGTGGTGGAATATATCTTTAACATGAGGCTGATGATTATAAAAAAGTTTAATATGATTATGTGTGTGGGTTTAATGTGAGTACTGATTTATGATACCCGAGGTCCTGTTTAACATGACAGTGCTGATGTCTGTACGTTTAAAATGACAGTGCTGATGTCTGTACATTTAACATGACAGTGCCTATGTCTGTAGGTTCAACATGACAGTACTAATGTCCGCAGGCTTAATATGACAGTACTGATATCTGTAGGTTAAACATGACAGTGCCGATGTCTGCAGTTTTAACATGACAGTACTGATATCTGTAGGTTAAACATGACAGTGCCGATGTCTGCAGTTTTAACATGACAGTGCTGATGTCTGTAGATTTAACAATACAGTACGATTGTCTGCAGGTTTAACATGACACTGCTGATGTCCACAGGTTTAACATGACAGGGCTGATATCTGTAGATTTAACATAGTGCTGATGTCTGTAGATTTAACATAGTGCTGATGTCTGTAGATTTAACATAGTGCTGATGTCTGTAGATTTAACAACACAGTGCTGATGTCTGTAGATTTAACAAGACAGTGTTGATGTCCACAGGTTTAACATGATACTGCTGATGTCATAAGGTTTAACATGACAGTGCTGATGTCCGTAGGTTTAACATGACAGTGCTGATATCTGTAGGTTTAACATGACAGTGCTGATATCTGTAGGTTTAACATGACAGTGCTGATATCTAGGTTTATATCTGTAGGTTTAACATGACAGTGCTGATATCTAGGTTTATCATGACAGTACCTACATCTTTTTAGGCATTTTTAAAGCCCTATTGTAATCGATACTTTGTAGCTAGCATTGGTAATTTGTGTGTGTGTGGCCACTTTGTGTTGAATACTGGCAGCCTTTATTTCTAGAAAAAAGCCCTGACTATTGTAATTAGACCAGAAGACAGGACGGAGCTGAAAGAGAGAACATACTGAGCCTGTTTGAGCTTCTCCTCCAGTGCGTGTTTGCTGGCGTACAACTGCTTGACCTCATCCACAAGGCCGTACTGTGCAGCATCCCGACACAGTTCCACATTAGGGCGATAGGTTCTGTTTTCTAGACGAGTCTCTGCCTTCTTGGTAGGTCTAATTTTGTTCCTGATAGCTTCCTCAATGCCACGTATGTCATTCTCTAGTTCTGTGATCTCGTCTTCAGTCTAGGAAATAAAAATAGTTATAGCTCATGTCAGTAAACAGGAAAGCACCATGTATGTCTGCTGTAATCTCTGACAGAGAACAGAAAAGATAGCACCACGTATGTCTGCTGTATTCTCTGACAGAGAACAGAAAAGATAGCACCACGTATGTCTGCTGAAATCTCTGACAGAGAACAGAAAAGATAGCACCTCATATGTCTGCTGTAATCTCTGACAGAGAACAGAAAGGATAGCACCGCGTATGTCTACTGTAATCTCTGACAGAGAACAGAAAAGAAAGCACCACGTATGTCTGCTGAAATCTCTGACAGAGAACAGAAAAGATAGCACCTCATATGTCTGCTGTAATCTCTGACAGAGAACAGAAAGGATAGCACCACGTATGTCTGCTGTAATCTCTGACAGAGAACAGAAAAGATAGCACCACGTATGTCTGCTGTATTCTCTGACAGAGAACAGAAAAGATAGCACCATGTATGTCTGCTGTGATCTGTAGTAGCTAACATTTATCCTATCTTAAGTGAGTATACACAGTAGAAACTGACCAGTCATTTATGTCCCATGAACAGAACAGACAGCACCAAGTATGTCTGCTCTAGTCTCTGACAGAGAACAGAAAATATAGCAACACGTATGTCTGCTCTCATTTCTGACAGAGAACAGAAAAAACAGCACCACATGTGTCTGCTGTAATCTTTGACAGAGAACAGAAACAATAGCACCATGTATGTCTGCTGTAATCTCTGACAGAAAACAGAAAAGATAGCACCACATATGCCTGCTGTAATCTCTGACAGAGAACAGAACAGATAGCACCACATATGTCTGCTGTAATCTCTGACAGAGAACAGAAAAGATAGCACCATGTATGTCTGCTGTAATCTCTGACAGAGAACAGAAAAGATAGCAAGACGCATGTCTGCTGTAATCTCTGACAGAGAACAGAAAAGATTGCACCACGTATGTCTGCTGTAATCTCTAACAGAGAACAAAAAAGATAGCACCACGTATGTCTGCTGTAATCTCTGACAGAGAACAGAAAAGATAGCACCACATATGTCTGCTGTAATCTCTGACAGAGAACAGAAAAAATAGCACCATGTATGTCTGCTGTAATCTCTGACAGAGAACAAAAAAGATAGCACTATGTATGTCTGCTGTAATCTCTGACAGAGAACAGAAAAGATAGCACCATGTATGTCTGCTGTAATCTCTGACAGAGAACAGAAAAGATAGCACCATGTATGTCTGCTGTAATCTCTGACAGAGAACAGAAAAGATAGCACCACGTATGTCTGCTGTAATCTCTGACAGAGAACAGAAAAGATAGCACCACGTATATCTGCTGTAATCTCTGACAGAGAACAGAAAAGATAGCACCACGTATGTCTGCTGTAATCTCTGACAGAGAACAGAAAAGATAGCACCACGTATGTCTGCTGTAATCTCTGACAGAGAACAGAAAAGATAGCACCACGTATGTCTGCTGTAATCTCTGACAGAGAACAGAAAAGATAGCACCACGTATGTCTGCTGTAATCTCTGACAGAGAACAGAAAAGATAGCACCACGTATGTCTGCTGTAATCTCTGACAGAGAACAGAAAAGATAGCACCACGTATGTCTGCTGTAATCTCTGACAGAGAACAGAAAAGATAGCACCACGTATGTCTGCTGTAATCTCTGACAGAGAACAGAAAAGATAGCACCACGTATGTCTGCTGTAATCTCTGACAGAGAACAGAAAAGATAGCACCACGTATGTCTACTGTAATCTCTGACAGAGAACAGAAAAAATAGCACCACATATGTCTGCTGTAATCTCTGACAGAGAACAGAAAATATAGCACCACGTATGTCTGCTGTAATCTCTGACAGAGAACAGAAAAGATAGCAAGACGCATGTCTGCTGTAATCTCTGACAGAGAACAGAAAAGATAGCAAGACGCATGTCTGCTGTAATCTCTGACAGAGAACAGAAAAGATAGCAAGACGCATGTCTGCTGTAATCTCTGACAGAGAACAGAAAAGACAGCACCACGTATGTCTACTGTAATCTCTGACAGAGAACAGAAAAGATAGCACCACATATTACCACGTATTTCTACTATAATTTCTGACAGAGAACAGAAAAGACAGCACCACATATGTCTACTGTAATCTCTGACAGAGAACAGAAAAGATAGCACCATGTATGTCTACTGTAATCTCTGACAGAGAACAGAAAAGATAGCACCACATATGTCTGCTGTAATCTCTGACAGAGAACAGAAAAGATAGCACCACGTATGTCTGCTGTAATCTCTGACAGAGAACAGAAAAGATAGCACTATGTGTGTCTACTGTAATCTCTGACAGAGAACAGAAAAGATCGCACCATGTATGTCTGCTCTAATTTCTGACAGAGAACAGAAAAGATAGCACCACATATGTCTGCTCTAAATTCTGACAGAGAACAGAAAAGATAGCACGACGTATGTCTGCTGTAATCTCTGACAGAGAACAGAAAAGATAGCAAGACGCATGTCTGCTGTAATCTCTAACAGAGAACAGAAAAGATAGCACCACGTATGTCTGCTGTAATCTCTGACAGAGAACAAAAAAATAGCACCACGTATGTCTGCTGTAATCTCTGACAGAGAACAGAAAAGATAGCACTATGTAAGTCTGCTGTAATCTCTGACAGAGAACAGAAAAGATAGCACCACGTATGTCTGCTGTAATCTCTGACAGAGAACAAAAAAATAGCACCACGTGTGTCTGCTGTAATCTCTGACAGAGAACAGAAAAGATAGCACCATGTAAGTCTGCTGTAATCTCTGACAGAGAACAGAAAAGATAGCACCACGTATGTTTGCTGTAATCTCTGACAGAGAACAGAAAATATAGCACCACGTATGTCTGCTGTAATCTCTGACAGAGAACAGAAAAGATAGCAAGACGCATGTCTGCTGTAATCTCTGACAGAGAACAGAAAAGATAGCAAGACGCATGTCTGCTGTAATCTCTGACAGAGAACAGAAAAGATAGCACCACGTATGTCTACTGTAATCTCTGACAGTGAACAGAAAAGATAGCACCACGTATTACCACGTATTTCTGCTATAATTTCTGACAGAGAACAGAAAAGACAGCACCACATATGTCTACTGTAATCTTTGACAGAGAACAGAAAAGATAGCACCACGTATGTCTACTGTAATCTCTGACAGAGAACAGAAAAGATAGTACCACGTATGTCTGCTGTAATCTCTGACAGAGAACAGAAAAGATAGCACCACGTATGTCTGCTGTAATTTCTGACAGAACAGAAAAGATAGCAAGACATATGTCTGCTGTAATCTCTTACAGAGAACAGAAAAGATAGCACCACATATGTCTGCTCTAAATTCTGACAGAGAACAGAGAAGATAGCACCACGTATGTCTGCTGTAATCTCTGACAGAGAACAGAAAAGATAGCACCACGTATGTCTGCTGTAATCTCTGACAGACAACAGAAAAGATAGCACCACGTATGTCTGCTGTAATCTCTGACAGAGAACAGAAAAGATAGCACCACATATTACCACGTATTTCTGCTATAATTTCTGACAGAGACAGAAAAGACAGCACAACATATGTCTGCTCTAAATTCTGACAGAGAACAGAAAAGATAGCACCACGTATGTCTACTGTAATCTCTGACAGAGAACAGAAAAGATAGCACCACGTATGTCTGCTGTAATCTCTGACAGAGAACATAAAAGATAGCACCACGTATGTCTGCTGTAATCTCTGACAGAGAACAGAAAAGATAGCAAGACGTAAGTCCGCTGTAATCTCTTACAGAGAACAGAAAAGATAGCACCACGTATTACCACGTATTTCTGCTATATTTTCTGACAGAGAACAGAAAAGACAGCACCACATATGTCTACTCTAAATTCTGACAGAGAACAGAAAAGATAGCACCACGTATGTCTACTGTAATCTCTGACAGAGAACAGAAAAGATAGCACCACGTATGTCTGCTGTAATCTCTGACAGAGGACATAAAAGATAGCACCACGTATGTCTGCTGTAATCTCTGACAGAGAACAGAAAAGATAGCAAGACGTATGTCTGCTGTAATCTCTGACAGAGAACAGAAAAGATAGCACCAGGTATGTCTGCTGTAATCTCTGACAGAGAACAGAAAAGATAGCACTACGTATGTCTGCTGTAATCTTGACAGAGAACAGAAAAGATAGCACCACGTATGTCTGCTCTAATTTCTGACAGAGAACAGAAAAGATAGCACCACGTATGTCTACTGTAATCTCTGACAGAGAACAGAAAAGATAGCACCACGTATTACCACGTATTTCTGCTATAATTTCTGACAGAGAACAGAAAAGACAGCACCACATTTGTCTACTGTAATCTCTGACAGAGAACAGAAAAGATAGCACCACGTATGTCTACTGTAATCTCTGACAGAGAACAGAAAAGATAGTACCACGTATGTCTGCTGTAATCTCTGACAGAGAACAGAAAAGATAGCACCACGTATGTCTGCTGTAATTTCTGACAGAACAGAAAAGATAGCAAGACATATGTCTGCTGTAATCTCTTACAGAGAACAGAAAAGATAGCACCACGTATGTCTGCTGTAATCTCTGACAGAGGACAGAAAAGATAGCACTATGTATGTCTACTGTAATCTCTGACAGAGAACAGAAAAGATAGCACCACGTATGTCTACTGTAATCTCTGACAGAGAACAGAAAAGATAGCACCACGCATGTCTGCTGTAATCTCTGACAGAGAACAGAAAAGATAGCACCACGTATGTCTGCTCTAATTTCTGACAGAAAACAGAAAAGATAGACCACATATGTCTGCTCTAAATTCTGACAGAGAACAGAGAAGATAGCACCACGTATGTCTGCTGTAATCTCTGACAGAGAACAGAAAAGATAGCACCACGTATGTCTGCTGTAATCTCTGACAGAGAACAGAAAAGATAGCACCACGTATGTCTGCTGTAATCTCTGACAGACAACAGAAAAGATAGCACCACGTATGTCTGCTGTAATCTCTGACAGAGAACAGAAAAGATAGCACCACATATTACCACGTATTTCTGCTATAATTTCTGACAGAGAACAGAAAAGACAGCACAACATATGTCTGCTCTAAATTCTGACAGAGAACAGAAAAGATAGCACCACGTATGTCTACTGTAATCTCTGACAGAGAACAGAAAAGATAGCACCACGTATGTCTGCTGTAATTTCTGACAGAGAACAGAAAAGATAGCACCACGTATGTCTGCTGTAATCTCTGACAGAGAACAGAAAAGATAGCAAGACGTATGTCTGCTGTAATCTCTGACAGAGAACAGAAAAGATAGCACCACGTATGTCTGCTGTAATCTCTGACAGAGAACAGAAAAGATAGCACTACGTATGTCTGCTGTAATCTTGACAGAGAACAGAAAAGATAGCACCACGTATGTCTGCTCTAATTTCTGACAGAGAACAGAAAAGATAGCACCACATATGTCTGCTCTAAATTCTGACAGAGAACAGAAAAGATAGCACCTCGTATGTCTGCTGTAATCTCTGACAGAGAACAGAAAAGATAGCACCACATATGTCTGCTCTATAAATAAACAATAAACATAAATAATTCAGTTTTTTTCATCGGAAGGATGTCGACCAGTGAACCTTATTGCAAGAATGCAGGTATCCTACGCAAACAAATGTGCACACAAGACGACAGAGAATTATTGTGGTGGAACAGAAGAAGAAAAACAATATGGCCAAAATGGATGAGTAATACAGGTGAACAATTACTGAAGCATTCGTTCGCCAGCAAAAGATGGGTGGGAGGATGAGATCTGGAGGATTTCTGGGCACTGCATCTCTGATGGCCACTAAGTCATGAGATCCCCTGTCGGCTTTTTATTTAGGTTGATAACCTTTATCCGTACTACATGAGATGGACAAGGGTTGATAACCTTTATCTGTAGCACATGAGATGGACAAGGGTTGATAACCTTTATTAGTACCACATGAGATGGACAAGGGTTGATAACCTTTATCCATACCACATGAGATGGACAAGGGTTGATAACCTTTATCCGCACCACATGAGATGGACAAGGGTTGATAACCTTTATCCATACCACATGAGATGGACAAGGGTCTTGGATGAGGAACTGTAAGCCCAGCACAGAGCCTGCTAGCACCCAAGGTCAGGTATGGAGTATCTCCTTATATGTATCACAAGGTGAGGTATGGAGTATCTCCTTTTATGTATCACAAGGTGAGGTATGGAGTATTTCCTTATATGTATCACAAGGTGAGGTATGGAGTATTTCCTTATATGTATCACAAGGTGAGGTATGGAGTATCTCTTTTTATGTATCACAAGGTGAGGTATGGAGTATCTCCTTTTATGTATCACAAGGTGAGGTATGGAGTATTTCCTTATATGTATCACAAGGTGAGGTATGGGGTATCTCTTTTTATGTATCACAAGGTGAGGTATGGAGTATCTCCTTTTATGTATCACAAGGGTCTTAACTTTCCCTCATGCCTGTGACCGAAATCATGCACTACCCATAATTCATTGAAATGCATACTCTATTCAATTCTGCCATACTTACTGATGTTTCTTTTATGCTTTTAAGGGTCCTTTCGGGAGTGAGTGAACAGCTCAAATAGATCACTACAGTCTGAGGAGAATGGTACTGCTGGGAGTTACCAGGGGATTTGGCTGACGCTCAACACTCAAGGGAAGGGCGAGACGGATGTACAATCAGAGTTACTGGTACCATCGGAATTTGAACTTTTCATTTGCTGTTGAAGATGGGGACAGAGTGCTTATGGAAGTGTCGCAAGTGCTATGATGTTTATTTTAATTCAATGTTCAACACTCATGCTTATGTAGTAAAGCCACTGGAATAGATTTTCAGTGAACTCTCCTTATATTTTAATGAACAAATACTTGAAACATAAGCATGAAAAAATACTCAAAAAATGACTGTGTCAAGCCTTGTGACTCTAACAAACCATGTGACTGTGTCAAACTATGTGACTGCATCAAACCATGTGCCTGATAAAACCACGTGACTGTATCAGACCATGTTACTGTGTCAAACCACATGACTGTGGCAGACCATGCGACTTTGTCAAAGCATGCGACTGTTTCAAACCACATGACAGTCAAACCGTGTGACTGTGTCAAACCATACAGTTGTCAAACCATGTGACTTAAAAAAAAAACGGCACGTGACTCTGTAAAAACAATAAAATGTAAAAACACAAGGTTACAATATTCAGTGTTTGAATTACATTTTTTTTCTGCCACTCAAGTTCGTTCTTAGCTCGCTCAAATTCATGGATCCTCTTTCTGTAGGCGTATTCTGTGGCTTGTTTCTGAGCTTCAAGGTCATTTGAAGTCTGGTGAAGAGTATGGTGGATTTGTTCTCGCAGTCTGTTGGATGATTTCATCTCTGCATCTGCCCGCTCTTTGTTATAGCGGCTGAAGTCTTCCCATTGTTGTGGTGTCGTACTCCTGTAAAGTAAAACTAGACTACAAATAATGATCTTCCATTGTTGGGGTATAGAGAGAAAGTATACAACAAATAATGATCTTCCATTGTTGGGGTCTAGAGAGAAAGTATACTACAAATAATAATCTTCCCATTGTTGGGATTTAGAAAAAAGGTCTGCTACAAATAATCTGTCCAATGCTGGGGTCTAGAAAGGAAGTTTGCTACACATAATCTGTCCAATGCTGGGGTCTAGACTGGAAGTTTGCTACAAATAATCTGTCCAATGCTGGGGTCTAGAGAGGAAGTTTGCTACAAATAGTCTGTCCAATGCTGGGGTCTAGAGAGGAAGTTTGCTACAAATAATCTGTCCAATGCTGGGGTCTAGAGAGGAAGTTTGCTACAAATAATCTGTCCAATGCTGGGGTCTAGAGAGGAAGTTTGCTACAAATAATCTGTCCAATGCTGGGGTCTAGAGAGGAAGTTTGCTACAAATAAATGATGTTTCCACTGTTGGAATCTAGAGAGAAGGTATGCTACCAATAATCTGCCCCACTGTTGGGATCTAGAAACAAGGTGTTCAACAAATACTCGGCCCAATGTTGGGATCTAGAAACAAGGTGTTCAACAAATACTCGGCCCACTGTTGCGATATAGAAACAAGGTGTTCAACAAATACTCGGCACAATGTTGGGATCTAGAAACAAGGTGTTCAACAAATACTCGGCCCAATGTTGGGATCTAGAAACAAGGTGTTCAACAAATACTCGGCCCAATGTTGGGATCTAGAAACAAGGTGTTCAACAAATACTCGGCCCAATGTTTGAGTGTAGAGTCAAGTTATGCTAAAACAAATAAAAATCTTCCCACTGCTGGAGTAGAGAGAAAAGGTATACTACAACAAATAAACGAGGTTGGTCGAATAGTATGAGTGTACACGGGGCAGACAAGTAGAAGACATGAAGATATACTTGGCTGATAACAAGTGGGAGACATGAAGATATACTTGGCTGATAATAAGTAGAAGACATGAAGATATACTTGGCTGATAACAAGTGGGAGACATGAAGATATACTTGGCTGATAACAAGTGGGAGACATGAAGATATACTTGGCTGATAACAAGTAGAAGACATGAAGATATACTTGGCTGATAACAAGTGGGAGACATGAAGATATACTTGGCTGATAACAAGTGGGAGACATGAAGATATACTTGGCTGATAACAAGTGGGAGACATGAAGATATACTTGGCTGATAACAAGAGGGAGACATGAAGATATACTTGGCTGATAACAAGTGGGAGGTGTAAACAATGTAAACTGGGTTCACAACCAGTGGGAGACATGAATGTACAAGTGGTAGATGTAAATGTTCACTTGGCTGAGAACAACAACAACAAGTGGTAGTCATAAATGTACACTTGGCTGAGAACAACAAGTGGTAGTCATAAATGTACACGTGGCTGACATAACAGCAAGTAGTAGACAAGAATATACATTTGGCTGACAATAACAATAAGTGGGAGACATGAATGTACATTTAGCTGACAATGACAACAAGTGGGAGACATGAATTTACATTTGGCTGACAATAACAACAAGTGGGAGACATGAATGTACACTGGCTGACAATAACAACAAGTGGGAGACATGAATGTACACTGGCTGACAATAACAACAAGTGGGAGACATGAATGTACACTGGCTGACAATAACAACAAGTGGGAGACATGAATGTACACTGGCTGACAATAACAACAAGTGGGAGACATGAATGTACACTGGCTGACAATAGCAACTAATGGGAGACATAAATGTACACTGGCTGACAATAACAAGAAGAACAACAACAAATGGGAGACATAAATGTACACTGGCTGACAATGACAACAAGTGGGAGACATAAATGTACACTTGCTGACAATAACAACAAGTGGGAGACATGAATGTATACTTGTGACAATAACAACAAGTGGGAGACATGAATGTATACTTGGCTGACAATAACAAGAAGAACAACAACAAATGGGAGACATGAATGTACACTTAGCTGACAATAACAACAACAAATGGGAGATGTGAATGTACACTTGACTTACCCCTTGGGCACACGCAAGGGGTTGGGCTTGAAGCTAATGTTGGGAGACCTCTCCGAGAGGTTGTACTGGTCTATGTCGATGGACATGGCTGTGTGTTTGTCCTGCAAGTCTGCCTGGATCTGTTGCCTGGCCTCCTGCAGCAGACACAACTGCTCAAAGGAGTCTGAGATTCTCTGTTGCAGGGCTTTCTTGATACCCTCAATGACTTCCACTTCCTATAAACAAATGTAACAGAAGACAGACAATTCATGACATCAGGCTGACATTGTATTGACTGTTTTGACAGCAGAGAGACAATTTAGTGATGGTAGACCAGAATAAGACACCAACCATCTGGTTGATGTATAGTCAGAACAGACCCCAACCATCTGGCTGACATATAGTCAGAACAAACAGACACTGGACATCTGGGTTAGATATAGTCAGAATAGATACCAGCCATCTGGCTTACATATAGTTAAAACAAACATACCAACCATATGGTTTATACATAGTCAGAACAGACACCAACCATCTGTTGATATATAGTCAGAATAAACAGGAATCAAAGAGAAATTGTAAAGAGAAACTATTGGGATGAAATACGTTTGATGTCAGATGTACCTTATGCAGTTGATGTTCAGGGTCATCCTGGACAAGGTCGATATTTCTACGTCCCTCGCGAATTGTCAGACACTCCACGGCCACATCTGTTGGCAGGTTCATGGCTTCCAGTGCATTCTCTGTCTCTTCTTTGGCTTCAGATAAATCAGAAATCTCCTGATCTAACTGTCCGAGAGTTCTCTCCAGAATCTCCTTCCATTTCCTAATATGGTCAACACGGTCAGCCAGCCGAACATCATTAGAATACTGGTCCCATTTCGTCTGACTGTCTGTCTCATTGCGCAGAAATCGGGATTCTTGGCGAACCTGTTGCAGATGTAAAGTGGAAAATATATGTTAATAATCTATCATTATATATTAGGGCTGTACCGAATATTCGCTTCGTATTCGCTTCGGGGACTGGTGGAAAAAAACATCAAGACTTCCCACCTTGGTTTATACTGTGAAGCGTTATCTTTGTGCACCACCTACGAGCGTACCAAGTGCCCATTTATTTCCATCTTATTTCCAAAATACAACACTTAAAAATGTAAGAGGGGCAGAAAAGCAAGTGTTCTAGTGTTGTCGGCTTGATTTCTTTGAGTGGAGTGTCCTCTTCGTTGATTCTTTGAAGTAACAGGAGTTAGTCATCATTTATGGGTGTCGTATCTGTTCTTTCGTCGTCTCGTGGAAACGGCAGCGGCTGAATGTTTTGATCGACGTTCGGTTTCTTGATTGTCTTTGTTGTTTGATCTTCTGGCGTGGGCCGCCCGGCGTCTGGTTTCGTGAGCTCGCGGGAGGCTGGGCGACTTGTAAGGACGGCATTGTTTTATTCGTGGGCGTTATATTTTTTTTTTTTTGATGTTTCGCCTTGCGAGTTTTCATTTTGACTCTCTGTATTTGTCGTATTTTCCTGTTTAGTACAGCTGGAAATACCTTCAGTGAGACAAAAAGCTGGCCTAATGCTGACAACATGGAACAAAGGTTTTTCATGGAGGTGTGTCAGCACACGAACTAGTAATACGTGCTGCAGGAGATCGCAGATTGTGGCGAGGTATAATCGCCCATGCCAGCCGGCAAAGCACATGATGATGATGATTCACTATTCGTATTCGTATTCGGCCGAATAGTTGGTCCAGCTATTCGTATTCGGCTGAATAGTGAAAATCACTATTCGGTACAGCCCTACTATATATCATTCTATATGTCTGTCATCAGTGAGTTCACAGAACACAAACTGTGGCACAAATAACGGAATGTTTCAGCCAAAGCCTGTATCAACAGATAGCACAACAAGATCAGAGAAATCCTAGACAACAGCCCTAGAGTAGGATTTCTCTTGCTCCGGCAGCTTCAGTCCCAAAGATAGGTTTCAAATTCATGGCACAACATTGTTGACAGAGCAAGATCTGCTGGATTTGAGGATCTAGACCAGGCCAATGCAGGCGAATTGCTCCAAGCCATTTATTAGAGTTTACCAAAGAATATCTTATTGAAATGGACAACTACAGCCAAAATGATAAAACGAGAAGCTGAGCGTTGAGCGCATCAAACACCTTTCTACAGCAGAATTATTTATGCACATTGACACTGCAATAAATATTGAGGAGAATGATCCAAACAATGACACTGCAATAAAGATCATTGAGGAGAATAATCCAAACACTGAGACTGCAATAAAGATCATTGAGGAGAATAATCCAAACACTGAGACTGCAATAAAGATCATTGAGGAGAATAATCCAAACACTGAGACTCCAATAAAGATCATTGAGCAGAATGATCCAAACACTAAAATTTCTAGGAAGATTCAGGAATTTTTGGCCAGCTACACTGCAGATCTGATAAGGAGATCTCATCAGGGATCGAAAAAATAGTTCTTTTTATGAGAAATTTCTCATGTCTAGATTAGAGTTCAAGCATACGGCATATGCATTTAAAACATAAGTACAATAACGAATTAGCGTTCAATACGACAGATGTATGACACAGCAAATATGTGAATCTGCAAATGTGTTAATTTACTAAGTTGGCACAAACAGCTAGAGAATAACAGTGAAGAATAGAGCCACTGCCTTCCTAACAAGCATGTCCTAAGAGTAGACTAAATAGGATTTTTTTTAAAGCCTGACTGCATCTGCCTAAGAGGTAAGAAACCAAGAGTCTACATAAAAGTAATCTAGATCTGTAAAACAGATGTGCACACAAAACCCTAGTTCTTAAACAAGACTAAAGTCCAGAAGTGGACAAACAACCAGAACACTGTTAATGTGAAGAAGAAGAAGAAGACACTTATGTTTTATGACTCATGAAAGTGTTTTTTACAAAGAAAAAGAACAAAAATTGCTAGGGATTTGCAAATTGTTCTTCATAACAGAAATTCACTACATCCAAGATCACTTTAAGCGGTCTGCACTATATAAATAACTACAGAAAACGGAGGAATGCTGCCCAACAGATTAATTTAGATCATTATCTGACAAAAACCAAAAATCATCAGGTTTCCATTGCGAGGTCTTCAAAAGAGCAAAAAAAGTGATCCTGATTCACCCAAGCCAGTTTCTGTATCCTGTGAATGACGCCTGCCAGATTTTAACATACATACCTGACATTTGTGTGGAATTTTACATTAAAGTATTATTTTATTATAAAGACTGAAATCTGAATTACTTTCTCCCTTTCAAACCACACCTATTATATATTTCATGTTGTAGTCAATTCACTTTATCAGTTTTTGTGTTACACAATTATTTCTCAGAATTATTTAACTATATAATGGAAACCTGTATAATCTAACATGGCAGAAATTCAATGGTATAAAATGTGGGCTCTTCTTTCAATACAGGCCCGTAGCTGGAAAGCCGCCGATCGGCTTAGTGGGAGTTCTCTCCCTTGGCTGCATAGCAAACACGGAGCGGAAAAGTCATGAATCAAAAAAGACAATGAGGTCGACAACAGGGCTGCCAATGCTTGGGTGTCCCCCCCCTCCCCAGATCTGGGTGTTTATTTGACGCTTCGGGGGAAATCTGGGTTTTTTTTAAAGTAAATATATCCTTATATAAAAGTGGTATTAGTTGCCACGGATGTGACTCCTGCATATCTGCATGACTTAATGACCGATAAATTTGCATGATTAGGGGTAGGGTTAGGGTTAGATGTGACAATTTTGACGTAGGAGTTCCAAATAATCGTGCACAGTCACATACACACCCAATCGAAGGACTGTGGATGCTACTCAAACGGAAAATTCGGCACCGACTGGGCACCAGCCGCGCGCTATTGCTGTCATATTTGGGAGAATTCCAGTGGCGCCACTCCCACAAGCATCGGATTGTCGGCCATTATTTGGAAATCCTACGTCAAAATTGTCACATCTAACCCTACCCCTAACCCAAACCCAAACGCCGCTAACCCTATCCGTAACCCTAACCCAAACCCTACGCAACCGTATGATGACTACGCAACCGTATGATGATAGGTAAGTATGTCATTTGATTTGTGACTTTTCCGCTCCGTGTTTGCAATGCAGCCAAGGGAGAGAACTTCCACTAAGCCGATCGGCGGCTTTCCAGCTACCGGCCTGTATTGAAAGAAGCCAAAATGTGTTCCATAGGAAAGGTTGACACGATATAGCAATATCTGCAGCACAAGAACACGTGAATGGTAGAGAAGACTCATGGAAAATAGATGCCGACTTATCAAAGTCCAATAATACAAGGACATACTTGATGCGATGCTGATCTCTGATTTTCTGCATTGGTTGACTGAGAGTAGAGTTGAGTAAACCAGTCTGGTGGCTGATGTCTGATGACTTGCCTCACTTGTGTGGCCATTGCTCCTAAAATCATCCATATACAAGTTTATGACAAAACTTGGAATGTGCCTTGAATAAATCATTTGTGATCACGGGAACAAACTATTCTTAACTGATAGCCTGTGGGTGAATTGTAGTCGTAGTGTGAAACAACATATAACAGGACAATACTAAACAACATATAACAGGACAATACTAAACAACATATAACAGGACAATACTAAACAACATATAACAGGACAATACTAAACAACATATAACAGGACAATACTAAACAACATTTAACAGGACAATACTAAACAACATATAACAGGACAATACTAAACAACATATAACAGGACAATACTAAACAACATATAACAGGACAATACTAAACAACATATAACAGGACAATACTAAACAACATATAACAGGACAATACTAAACAACATATAACAGGACAATACCAAACAACATATAACAGGACAATACTGAACAACATATAACAGGACAATACTAAACAACATTTAACAGGACAATACTAAACAACATATAACAGGACAATACTAAACAACATATAACAGGACAATACTAAACAACATATAACAGGACAATACTAAACAACATATAACAGGACAATACTAAACAACATATAACAGGACAATACTAAACAACATTTAACAGGACAATACTAAACAACATTTAAAAGGACAATACTAAACAACATATAACAGGACAATACTAAACAACATATAACAGGACAATACTAAACAACATATAACAGGACAATACTAAACAACATATAACAGGACAACACTAAACAACATATAACAGGACAACACTAAACAACATATAACAGGACAACACTAAACAACATATAACAGGACAACACTAAACAACATATAACAGGACAATACTAAACAACATATAACAGGACAATACTAAACAACATATAACAGGACAATACTAAACAACATTTAACAGGACAATACTAAACAACATATAACAGGACAATACTAAACAACATATAACAGGACAATACTAAACAACATATAACAGGACAATACTAAACAACATATAACAGGACAATACTAAACAACATATAACAGGACAATACTAAACAACATATAACAGGACAATACTAAACAACATTTAACAGGACAATACTAAACAACATATAACAGGACAATACTAAACAACATATAACAGGACAATACTAAACAACATATAACAGGACAATACTAAACAACATATAACAGGACAATACTAAACAACATATAACAGGACAACACTAAACAACATATAACAGGACAATACTAAACAACATATAACAGGACAACACTAAACAACATATAACAGGACAATACTAAACAACATATAACAGGACAATACTAAACAACATATAACAGGACAATACTAAACAACATATAACAGGACAATACTAAACAACATGACAAAAACACACAAGACAATAAAGTAGCTCTTGGACCTGAAATTGTGTACACAGTTTTTCCATCTCCAAGTTTTTAATTTTTGTTGGAGAATGTTTGATCATATGCTTACTACTCTAGAATCAAGGACGAAGTTGCATTCTGGTATTTGGTCATGAAGATCTTTGTAGTTAACTTGGCATTCACCAGAATGGGATAACATCAGAGAAACTTTACAACAGCATGTCTCTATGGTCGAGATAGTCAGCAGAGCAAGAAGCATAACCGTATATCTCCCTCAACGCTGATGTCTCCATCAACACTGATATCTCCCTCAACACTGATGTCTCCATCAACACTGATGTCTCCATCAACACTGATATCTCCCTCAACACTGATATCTCCCTCAACACTGATGTCTCCATCAACACTGATATCTCCCTCAACGCTGATGTCTCCATCAACACTGATATCCCCCTCAACACTGATGTCTCCCTCAACACTGATGTCTACCTAAACACTGATGTCTCCCTCAACACTGATATCCCCCTCAACACTGATGTCTCCCTCAACACTGATGTCTCCCTCAACACTGATGTCTCCCTCAACACTAATGTCTCCCTCAACACTGATAACCCCCTCAACACTGATGTCTCCCTCAACACTGATGTCTCCCTCAACACTGATGTCTCCCTCAACACTGATGTCTCCCTCAACACTGATGTCTCCCTCAACACTGATGACTACCTAAACACTGATGACTACCTAAACACTGATGTCTCCCTCAACACTGATGTCTCCCTCAACACTGATGACTACCTAAACACTGATGACTACCTAAACACTGATGTCTCCCTCAACACTGATGTCTCCCTCAACACTGATGACTCCCTCAACACTGATGACTCCCTCAACACTGATGTGGTCAAAGAGGAAGTGAAGAAGGAGCTTTTGTCAGATTGCACTATAATTTGTCCACTATGGTGGTGTCTGCCACTGAAATGTTAATATCTCCGGTTAGAATTGACTTAAAGGCTTCACTGAAGCATCGTTGGATTTGATATTTTAATCTCGATCCAGCTGTGATGGTTTTATAAGAAGAAAAAAACCAATATATAAAACTTTACTAGCATCCCTACTGCTACTAATACAATTGACATGCTCAAATTTTTACTGAAACTCTTCATTTTTTTAAATTGTATGTTAAAAATGGCAACCATGAGTAGTTGTCTGGCATCAGTTAGTGTGTGTGTGCTGATCTTACCTGTCCAGTCAGTGTGTCGGCTGATCTTACCTGTCCGTTAGTGTGTGGGCTGATCTTACCTGTCCTGTTAGTGTGTGGGCTGATCTTACCTGTCCAGTCAGTGTGTGTGCCAATCTTACCTGTCCAGTTAGTGTGTGGGTTGATCTTACCTGTCCTGTTAGTGTGTGGGTTGATCTTACCTGTCCAGTCAGGGTGTCGGCTGATCTTACCTGTCCAGTCAGTGTGTCGGCTGATCTTACCTGTCCTGTTAGTGTGTGGGTTGATCTTACCTGTCCAGTCAGTGTGTGTGCTGATCTTACCTGTCCAGTTAGTGTGTGTGACGATCTTACCAGTCCAGTTAGTGTGTGGGCTGATCTTACCTGTCCAGTTAGTGTGTGTGACGATCTTACCTTTCTAGTTACTTACAACGCCCAGATTTAAGCAGGCAGCTCTGTGTTCTGGTTGCTAGCCAAACAGCTTAACGACAAATAACTGTAAACGTTTTTTTGATTAGACAATGTCTAACAGGTTGACCAATGAGGGGGATTATTACAAGTTAGAATGTTGTCATGTCACGAGTGTTTCCTGTGACAAAGGTCACATCTGAGAATCAACTTCCGGTGCTAGGTCTCGTCTGCTGCCGTACCGGTTAACCATAACACGGGGACAGTCTCTCGCCATGTCAGTCAATTGAGTACGCCAGGTTATTTGGGGACAATTTTCTACCTCTGATTGTTTGGGGACATTCTTCTACCCCTGGTTAGTTGTGGGCATTCTTCTACCTCTGATTATTTGGAGACATTCTTCTACCCATGGTTTTTTTTGGGACCATTCTTTGGCTATCCGAATAACGACGGTCCCAAATTATCGAGGCCGACTAACAGGGCCTCAGTCACATGTAAATTGCAGACTTCCGGCGCGGCGTGGAGTGGGCTAAACTAGATGGCTGAGACATACAAGCAAATAAAATGAAGGAAGCTGCAGGAGATGCGGTAGCTGCTGCTCGTGACTCACAGCCATCTAGTTTAGCCCCACTCTGCGCCGCAAATAGCGGGGCGGGAGATACTCTTTGCGGTGGCGGTAGTTGCCAGAAGTCTGCAATTTAAGTTGCCGGAAGTCCAAAATTTACATGTGACTGAGGCCGTGTTAGGGTATATTTTCGGCCTCAAATATTTGGGACCATTATTCGGAGGATAGCCTATTCTTCTACCCCTGGTTAGTTGGATACATTCTTCACATTATTTTATTTTTAAGTATCCAGAAACCATGAGTTGTGAACCTTCTGGCCTTCGGCCTTGATTCCGTGATAGATACTGTAAATCTGGGAGAAATGTGGCTTTTCTGCCTACCCCCGGGCGTGAACCTAGACCACAAAGAGTTACAGAACTTCGCTCTCTTCACGGCACGACTAAAAGTATCCCTTTCCCTGGCCGGCTTTCAGTCCCATGTGCTTTTCAATGCCGATGCTTCTTCAATGTCGTATCCATTTTTGCGGTGGTTGACCCCTGCCTCATCTTCTACAAACTGCACCCTCTATCACCTTCTTTTCCATGCCACCATGGCGCTTGATGTGGCCAATATACTTCAACTTTCGGGACAAGATGCTGTTTATCAGTTCTCCCTGATGTTCAGCTCGTTTAGATTGTCTTATGTTTTTCTCTTCTTGATCCATGCTATTCTAAACATTTTTCTATAACATTTCAATTTAAAAGCTCCAATCTTTTTTCTCAGTGACAGAGTCCAGACTCGCAACTGTAAGTTGTCACAGGAAAATGAATGATCTCAAGATTTTTACTTTAACCAATTTACTAGCGCTTTGCCATGGGTTCTTCGTGCTGTTTAATCTCTGCATTGCTAATGCAAGACTCCTTCTGACTTCTGGTGAGCAGTCGCCACTATTGTTCACTAAAGATCCCAAGTATTGACAGTTTGAGAGAGCTCAAGTATTGACAGTTTGAGAGAGCTCAAGTATTGACAGTTTGAGAGAGCTCAAGTATTGACAGTTTGAGAGAGCTCAAGTATTGACAGTTTGAGAGAGCTCAAGTATTGACAGTTTGAGAGAGCTCAAGTATTGACAGTTTGAGAGAGCTCAAGTATTGACAGTTTGGGAGAGCTCAAGTATTGACAGTTTGAGAGAGCTCAAGTATTGACAGTTTGAGAGAGCCCAAGTATTGACAGTTTGAGAGAGCCCAAGTATTGACAGTTTGAGAGAGCTCAAGTATTGACAGTTTGAGAGAGCTCAAGTATTGACAGTTTGAGAGAGCTCAAGTATTGACAGTTTGAGAGAGCCCAAGTATTCACAGTGTGACATTTTCTATTTGTTCATTTTCAGTTGTGATACGTGGTTGGTGTGCTGAATTTACTGAGGACATACTTTTGTTCTATTCAGAAACAGATTCACTTCTTCACTGATCTGATTTCAGGTTGTTTATTGCTATTCTTACTTCCTCTAATAGAGGTTCAGGCTCTTGCTGTTCTATTTCTTTGGCACTATCTGGCATGTTTTTTAAATCTTTGTACATTTATCCACAATACTCCTTCCATCTTTCAAGTATTTCTTTGCTGTCTGTCAAGGTGTTACCATTTTTATCGTTTATTACGTTCAGTGAAGGTTTTAATTCTGTTGTTAATGTTCTGATCTCCTTGAACATTTCTATATCCCTTCCCTTTTGCTGGAGATGTTCTATTTTGTTGCCTGTCTTGATTACAAGTTGCTTCTTGTCTTCTCTGATTGCATTTCTCACTCTCTCAATGTGTTTTTTTTATATATTGTGTTGCTGGTTTTTGTCCTTGTTTGTTACAATTTTCTTCTTTCTTCACTTAACCTCAATGTTTGTTCTGTGATTCTTATATACTTTTCTAGGTATCAGGTTTAGTGCTGTTGTAATGATTATGTGTCTTTCCTGTGTGGCTAGTTCATCAGGTGACATTTCTTCCTAAACTACCATCAATATCTCACATTTATTTTTCACTTCTTTACCAAACTCTGGTGGTGTGAGAGATCAAAACAAATTGGATGCAGCCCTTTCAAAACTGTTTCTTTTTCAGTTTTAACTTGAGATTCACCACAAGCAATTTATGGTCTGTATCACCATCAGCGACAGGTAGTGTTTCTGCGGATGTTACGCATGTCTTCTATCTCTGTTGCATCATGGTGTAGTCAATTAGGTTTTTGTAATTACCATCAGGTGATATCCATGTGAAGAGCCTTCTTGGGTGTTGTTTAAAAAAACTATTTGCGATGACAAGACTGTTTTTTTATTCAAAATTCTATTAATTTCTTGCCGCTCTCATTCCTCTCTCCTTTGCTGTGTGGACCTCGCAACTTTTCTTTTATTTCCCATCTCTCTTCCCCAGTTTTGGCCTTTAAGTCTGCCATAACTATCACAATATCTCTTTTCTTTACTTTTTCTAACTGGTTTTGTAAAATGTTGAAAAATTCAAAATGTTCTTCTTCTGCGTATGAAGATGTTGGTGCATGGACTTGTATAACTCATTAACTTCTGCCCCTGATTAGTTGGGGTAGGGTTCTTGCATCAGATTAGTTCTTCTGTCTCGTTTTTTCATCAGATTAGTTCTTCTTTTCCTGGTTCTTGTATTAGATATTTCTCCTACCTCAGGTTTTTATATCAGATTGGACACCCACTATTGAATCAGTCATATCCTAGCTGTATGGTATGTGAATAAATAAGATCAGTAAACTAGTAGACAGTCACAGTTCAATCAGTCATATCCTAGTGTAATAGGGTGGAAGCGACGAAGTACAGTACAGCAAATTAAAGATCTTAGATTTATTCTGGTTTGAAAATGGCTAAAAGGCCACTGGAACAACTAATAGAGTTAGACGGAAGATGGGGAAAAATCTGGCTCGCTTGGTATAAAAGATTTTGTTTAGTCTTGGAGCGACCTATTTGACTTCCGGACCAACCTCTGGGAGCCTAACCTAGCTACTGATGCTTTGCACAATGGGCTGGTCGATGGGTATGGCGTCCGTGGTCTGAATGATTCCAGGCGGTGGTACGTTCAGTTGATTAAAATAGACTTTCGTTTGTATTCTTGCTAAGAGATAGTTAGATGGTAGATCGCTATATATTTCAGATTCTGGCTGAGCACGTAGTTGTCGTTAATGTCGTTATTTGTTGGCCATGCTGATGTGAAGTTAAATAAAATTATGTTCAACGTTGTATTCATAGTTACAGTTGTTTCCATCAGCTTAGGATTTGTAGTTAGTGTACCTAGTTTATTCATTTGTTATTTGCCTGGGCTATATTAGACTTTACACAGAAGATTTCTTGCCTGGGTGAGATATTCTGATCTCTCCCCCACCAAAATGAACTCTCTCTTTTTCTTTCTTTCTTTTTTCTTGATACTAAAGGGCCCCTCCGGTCTAGTACGCTAGCTGAATGGTGTGGGAATAAGTGAGAGCAGTGAATAAATGAGATCAGTAAACTAGTAGACACACACTGTTCAATCAGTCATATCCTAGCTGTATGGTATGTGAATAAATAAGATCAGTAAACTAGTAGACACACACTATTCAATCAATCATATCCTAGCTGTATGGTGTGGGAATAAATGAGAGCAGTAAACTAGTAGACACACACTATTTAATCAATCATATTCTAGCTGTATGGTATGTGAATAAATAAGATCAGTAAACTAGTAGACACATACTATTCGTCAATCATATTCTAGCTGTATGGTGTGGGAATAAATGAGAGCAGTAAACTAGTAGACACACACTATTCAATCAATCATATCCTAGCTGTATGGTGTGTGAATAAATAAGAGCAGTAAACTAGTAGACACACTATTTAATCAATCATATTCTAGCTGTATCGTGTGGGAATAAATGAGAGCAGTGAATAAATGAGATCAGTAAACTAGTAGACACACACTGTTCAATCAATCATATTCTAGCTGTATGGTGTGTGAATAAATGAGATCAGTAAACTAGTAGACACACACTGTTCAATCAATCATATTCTAGCTGTATGGTGTGGGAATAAATGAGAGCAGTAAACTAGTAGACACACACTGTTCAATCAATCATATTCTAGCTGTATGGTGTGTGAATAAATGAGAGCAGTAAACTAGTAGACACATACTATTCAATCAATCATATTCTAGCTGTATGGTGTGTGAATAAATGAGAGCAGTAAACTAGTAGACACACACTGTTCAATCAATCATATTCTAGCTGTATGGTGTGTGAATAAATGAGAGCAGTAAACTAGTAGACACATACTATTCAATCAATCATATTCTAGCTCTATGGTGTGTGAATAAATGAGAGCAGTAAACTAGTAGACACACACTGTTCAATCAATCATATTCTAGCTGTATGGTGTGTGAATAAATGAGAGCAGTAAACTAGTAGACATATACATAGTTCAATCAATCATATCCTAGCTGTATGCTGTGTGAATGAACGAGTACACCAGCAGTGATAATATTATGTGCTTCTTTATGCAGTTGCAGGAACAGGGTTGTCTACATCAGGAACCACGTGTCTTGCTATGGCAGCTACAGCTGGCCAAAGACTCACGCTAGATGCTTTAAGAAAGTTGATTGTGAGTCGTGTCCACAGACAAGGCTTTGAAAGTCTCTTTAACCAGGTGTGTGATAGTTCACTCACAAGTTCTTGTTGAATATTAGTAAACTGAGCTGATGATTACATGTTTGTCATGATATTAGTCAAATGAACTGATAACATGTCTGCTATGATATCAGCTAGTTAACTGAGCTGATGATAACATGTCTGCTATGATATCAGCTAGTTAACTGAGCTGATGATAAGATGTCTGCTATGATATCAGCTAGTTAACTGAGCTGATGATAACATGTCTGCTATGATATCAGCTAGTTAACTGAGCTGATGATATCATGTCTGCTATGATATCAGCTAGTTAACTGAGCTGATGATAACATGTTCACCATGATATTAGTTTATTAACTGAGCTGATGATTACATGTCTGCCATGATATTAGTTTATAAACTGAGCTGAAGATTACATGTCTGTCGTGATATTAGTTTATTAACTGAGCTGATGATTACATGTCTGCCATGATATTAGTTTATTAACTGAGCTGATGATTACATGTCTGCCATTATATTAGTTTATAAACTGAGCTGAAGATTACATGTCTGTCGTGATATTAGTTCATAAACTGAGCTGAAGATTACATGTCTGTCATGATATTAGTTTATTAACTGAGCTGAAGATTACATGTCTGTTGTGATATTAGTTTATTAACTGAGCTGAAGATTACATGTCTGTCATGATATTAGTTTATTAACTGAGCTGAAGATTACATGTCTGTCATGATATTAGTTTATAAACTGAGCTGAAGATTACATGTCTGTTGTGATATTAGTTTATTAACTGAGCTGATGATTACATGTCTGCCATGATATTAGTTTGTTGACTGACTTGATGATTAAATGACTGTTATTTTGATCTTCCTTTTATTAACGTAGTGTGCATTGTACAGCCACATAAGTGTGACTTGCTTGATTGTTTGTTAGTGACAGACGGTGGGTCACTGACCTAATAGATGTATGTTAGTGACAGATGGCAGGCCAGTGACCTAATAGTTGTATGTTAGTGACAGATGGCAGACCAATGACCTAATAGATGTATGTTAGTGACAGATGGCAGGCCAATGACCTAATAGGTATATGTTAGTGACAGACTGCAGGTCAATGACCTAATAGCTGTATGTTAGTGACAGATGGCAGGCCAGTGACCTAATAGCAGTATGTTAGTGACAGATGGCAGGCCACTGACCTAATAGCTGTATGTTAGTGACAGATGGCAGGCCACTGACCTAAAAGGTGTATGTTAGTGACAGATGGCAGGCCAATGACCTAATAATTGTATGTTAGTGACAGCCTGCAGGCCAATGACCTAATATGTGTATGTTGGTGACAGACTGCAGGTCAATGACCTATTAGGTGTATGTTAGTGACAGATGGCAGGCCTCTGACCTAATAGGTATATGTTAGTGACTGATGGCAGGCCTCTGACCTAATAGGTGTATGTTAGTGACAGATGGCAGACCAATGACCTAATAGCTGTATGTTAGAGACAGATGGCAGGCCAGTGACCTAATAGGTGTATGTTAGTGACAGATGGCAGGCCAATGACCTAATAGGTGTATGTTAGTGACAGACTGCAGGCCAATGATCTAATAGGTGTATGTTAGTGACAGATGGCAGGCCAATGACCTAATAGGTGTATGTTAGTGACAGATGGCAGGCCAATGACCTAATAGATGTATGTTAGTGACAGATGGCAGGCCAATGACCTAATAGGTGTATGTTAGTGACAGATGGCAGGCCAGTGACCTAATAGATGTATATTAGTGACACACTGCAGGCCAATGACCTAATAGATGTATGTCAGTGACAGATGGCAGGCCAGTGACCTAATAGGTATATGTTAGTGACAGATGGCAGGCCAATGACCTAATAGGTGTATGTTAGTGACAGATGGCAGGCCAATGACCTAATAGGTGTATGTTAGTGACTGATGGCAGGCCAATGACCTAATAGGTGTATGTTAGTGACAGATGGCAGGCCAATGACCTAATAGGTGTATGTTAGTGACATATGAAAAGCTTTTTATGTTATTGGAAAAAGATGGAAAACATTATGTTAAATATATTGATATCAGAGACAGACAGCAGTCCATATGTTTTAGTGACACATATCAGGCTAATTGTGTCACCAATGGGTTCAGTGACAGATCCATTTTGTCATTGACAGATAAACTGTTTCAGTAAAAACCAATTGTGTCAGTAACAGATGACAGTCCAGATCAAAACTACATGACAAGATAAAAAGTACAGTACATAGATTGTTGTTGAATTTGTACTTCAGTTATTATAAAGGATTTACTTATTGTTTTAATTTATATAATTGCTACTGTAATTTGCACCTGATGAGATACAGCGAATTTACCATGCAATAAATTGTACAATCTATTGTTCGTATCTTCTTTGTACAATAGATTGTCTTCACTGGTACACACAAGACAAGATAGCAAGTACAATAGATTGTACCAGTGCACACAAGACAGGATAGTTAGACAAGTACGGTAGACTGTCTGTTTAGATTGTACATACATAAGATAAGAGAGTAACACTGGTGAAGCTGTAGTGTGCTGGTGTCTGCAGCTGAAGGTTGTTTCAGGAGGAGATGGCAGCTGTGTCTGTGAGATCAAAGTCAGCCCCAGTATGCTGAATGCAGCTGGCACACTGCATGGTGGAGTCACTGCCTCTCTGGTGGATGCTGTATCCACCTACGCTCTGACCACTACAGGCTCTGGGAGACCAGGCAGCAGCATAGACCTCAACGTCAGGTTAGTGTTGTTGGCTTCTGTCTGTTTCCTCACCTATCTTCATGACCTGACCTCACCTGTTATACCTTCATGACCTGACCTCACCTGTTATATCTGCATGACCTGACTTCACCTGTTATATCTTCATGACCTGACTTCACCTGTTATACCTGCATGACCTGACTTCACCTGTAATATCTTCATGACCTGACTTCACCTGTTATATCTGCATGACCTGACTTCACCTGGTATATCTTCATGACCTGACTTCACCTGTTATATCTTCATGACCTGACTTCACCTGTTATATCTTCATGACCTGACTTCACCTGTTATATCTTCATGACCTGACTTCACCTGTTATATCTTCATGACCTGACTTCACCTGTTATATCTTCATGACCTGACTTCACCTGTTATATCTTCATGACCTGACTTCACCTGTTATATCTTCATGACCTGACTTCATCTTTTATACCTTTTATATCTTCATGACCTGACTTCACCTGTTATATCTGCATGACCTGTGTAATGATGCTATAAATAGGGATAACGTCAGGGGATGACTGGCATAATTGGGTAAGTCCCTGAGAGCATGGGTTTCACGGAGATATGGTGAAACGACAAGAGAGAGTGAGTCACGTGTGAATGCGAGATCTGGGGGATTGAGAATCAGGTGGGCATTCGGTGCCTGGGCCCCAGACTAGAAGGATGTGAAGCTGAATCTGTGAGGGTGAATCCAGAATGAAGAGTGCACGTGGATCTGAATCAGAGTCGAATGAATGATCATGAAGGCCAGCCGTTGTGTTACAGGGTTTGATTATTGAGCCAGCCGTGTATATGCCAGTGTCAATCGTCTAAAGCATGTCTGGAGCCTTAATGCGTGGGCAAAGCGAGATTGCCCGAATGGTGTAAGTTGGTTCTTCTGTTGATTCGTGTCTTGTGCTACAGTGATAATAAACCTGTGAAATGTGTCAGCTGGTGTCAACCGTCGTTGGAAGTTGTGTGGCCGTGGAGAGAAATGCCGTCTAGTTAGAATGAACTGTGACCTAACAGTGTTGAATCTGCATTAGAGAGATCAAGTGTGGAGGAGACACAAGTACATTCATTACATCCTGACTTCACCTATTATATCTTCATGACCTGACTTCACCTGTTATATCTTCCTGACCTGACTTCACCTGTTATATCTTCATGACCTGACTTCACCTGTTATATCTTCATGACCTGACTTCACCTGTTATATCTTCATGACCTGACTTCACCTTTTATACCTTTTATATCTTCATGACTTGACTTCACCTGTTATATCTGCCTGACCTGACTTCACCTGTTATATCTCTATGACCTGACTTCACCTGTTATATCTGCATGACCTGACTTTTATATCTTCATGACCTGACTTCACCTGTTATATCTTCATGACCTGACTTTACCTGTTATATCTTCATGACCTGACTTCACCTGTTATATCTTCATGACCTGACTTCACCTGTTATATCTTCATGACCTGACTTCACCTGTTATATCTTCATGACCTGACTTCACCTGTTATATCTTCATGACCTGACTTCACCTGTTATATCTTCATGACCTGACTTCACCTTTTAAACCTTTTATATCTTCATGACTTGACTTCACCTGTTATATCTGCCTGACCTGACTTCCTGTCTTTTATCTCCATGACTTTATTGTTATATCTCTATGACCTGACCTCACCTGTTATATCTGCATAACCTGACTTCACCTGTTATATCTGCATGACCTGACTTCACCTGTTATATCTTCATGACCTGACTTCAACTGTTATATCTGCATGACCTGACTTCACCTGTTATATTATATCTTCATGACCTGACTTCACCTGTTATATTATATCTTCATGACCTGACTTCACCTGCTATATCTTCATGACCTGACTTGACCTGTTATATTTTCATGACCTGACTTCAACTGTTATATCTGCATGACCTGACTTCACCTGTTATATCTTCATGACCTGACTTCACCTGTTATATCTTCATGACCTGACTTCACCTGTTATATCTTCATGACCTGACTTCACCTGTTATATCTTTATGACCTGACTTCACCTGTTATATCTTCATGACCTGACTTCACCTGTTATATCTTCATGACCTGACTTCACCTGTTATATCTTCATGACCTGACTTCACCTTTTATACCTTTTATATCTTCATGACTTGACTTCACCTGTTATATCTGCCTGACCTGACTTCCTGTCTTTTATCTCCATGACTTTATTGTTATGTCTCTATGACCTGACCTCACCTGTTATATCTGCATAACCTGACTTCACCTGTTATATCTGCATGACCTGACTTCACCTGTTATATCTGCATGACCTGACTTCACCTGTTATATCTTCATGACCTGACTTCACCTGTTATATCTTCATGAACTGACTTCACCTGTTATATCTTCATGACCTGACTTCACCTTTTATATCTTCATGACTTGACTTCACCTGTTATATCTGCCTGACCTGACTTCCTGTCTTTTATCTCCATGACTTTATTGTTATATCTCTATGACCTGACCTCACCTGTTATATCTGCATAACCTGACTTCACCTGTTATATCTGCATGACCTGACTTCACCTGTTATATCTTCATGACCTGACTTCAACTGTTATATCTGCATGACCTGACTTCACCTGTTATATTATATCTTCATGACCTGACTTCACCTGTTATATTATATCTTCATGACCTGACTTCACCTGCTATATCTTCATGACCTGACTTGACCTGTTATATTTTCATGACCTGACTTCAACTGTTATATCTGCATGACCTGACTTCACCTGTTATATCTTCATGACCTGACTTCACCTGTTATATCTTCATGACCTGACTTCACCTGTTATATCTTCATGACCTGACTTCACCTGTTATATCTTTATGACCTGACTTTACCTGTTATATCTTCATGACCTGACTTCACCTGTTATATCTTCATGACCTGACTTCACCTGTTATATCTTCATGACCTGACTTCACCTTTTATACCTTTTATATCTTCATGACTTGACTTCACCTGTTATATCTGCCTGACCTGACTTCCTGTCTTTTATCTCCATGACTTTATTGTTATGTCTCTATGACCTGACCTCACCTGTTATATCTGCATAACCTGACTTCACCTGTTATATCTGCATGACCTGACTTCACCTGTTATATCTGCATGACCTGACTTCACCTGTTATATCTTCATGACCTGACTTCACCTGTTATATCTTCATGAACTGACTTCACCTGTTATATCTGCATGACTTGACTTTAATATCTTCATGACCTGACTTCACCTGTTATATCTTCATGACCTGACTTCACCTGTTATATCTTCATGACCTGACTTCACCTGTTATATCTTCATGACCTGACTTCACCTGTTATATCTTTATGACCTGACTTCACCTGTTATATCTGCATGACCTGACTTTTATATCTTCATGACCTGACTTCACCTGTTATATCTTCATGACCTGACTTCACCTGTTATATCTCTATGACCTGACTTCACCTGTTATATCTGCATGACCTGACTTTTATATCTTCATGACCTGACTTCACATGTTATATCTTCATGACCTGACTTCACCTGTTATATCTTCATGACCTGACTTCACCTGTTAAATCTTTATGACCTGACTTCACCTGTTATATCTTCATGACCTGGCTTTACCTGTTAAATCTTCATGACCTGACTTCACCTGTTATATCTTCATGACCCGACTTCACCTGTTAAATCTTCATGACCTGACTTCACCTGTTATATCTTCATGACCTGAATTCACTTGTAACATCTGTATGACCTTACTTCTTCTGTTATATCTCCATGACCTGACTGTTTATCTCCATGACCTGACTGTTTGTCTCCATGACATGACTCTAATGTCTCTATGACTTTACTTCACTTTTTATATCACCATGACCTGATTTTACTTGTTATATTTCTTTGACCTGACCTCACCTGTTATATCTCCATGACTGACTTCACACCTGCAGTATCTTCATTACCTGACTTCACCTGTTATATCTCCATGACCTGTCAGGACTTCAGCTGTTATATCTCCATGATCTGACCTTACTTGTTATATGTCCATGACCTGACTTCACCTGTTATATCTCCACGGCCTGACTTCACCTGTTATATCTCCACGGCCTGAGGTGGATTTTTAAATCTCTATGATCAGATTATTATGTCTTCTTGATCTGAACTTACTTGTTATATCTTCATGGCCTGATTGTTGTATCTCCATGACCTGATTGTCGTATCTCCATGACCTGATTGTTATATCTCCATGACTGATTGTTGTATCTCCATGACCTGATTGTTATATCTCCATGACCTGATTGTTATACCTCCAAGACCTGATTGTTATATCTCCATGACCTGATTGTTATGTCTCCATGACCTGATTGTTATATCTCCATGACTGATTGTTGTATCTCCATGACCTGATTGTTATATCTCCATGACCTGATTGTTATACCTCCAAGACCTGATTGTTATACCTCCATGACTGATTGTTATATCTCCATGACCTGATTGTTGTATCTCCATGACCTGATTGTTGTATCTCTATGACCTGATTGTTGTATCTCCATGACCTGATTGTTGTATCTCCATGACCTGATTGTTGTATCTTCATGACTGATTGTTATATCTCCATGACCTGATTGTTATATCTCCATGACCTGATTGTTATATCTCCATGACTGATTGTTATATCTACATGACCTGATTGTTATATCTCCATGACTGATTATTGTATCTCCAAGACCTGATTGTTATACCTCCATGACTGATTGTTATATCTCCATGACCTGATTGTTGTATCTCCATGACCTGATTGTTGTATCTCCATGACCTGATTGTTATATCTCCATGACCTGATTGTTATATCTCAATGACTGATTGTTGTATCTCCATGACTGATTGTTATATCTCCATAACTGATTGTTGTATCTCCATGACTGATTGTTATATATCCATGACTGATTGTTATATCTCCATGACTGATTGTTATATCTCCATGACCTGATTGTTGTATCTCCATGACCTGATTGTTGTATCTCCATGACCTGATTGTCGTATCTCCATGACCTGATTGTTATATCTCCATGACCTGATTGTTATATCTCCATGACCTGATTGTTATACCTCCATGACCTGATTGTTATTTCTCCATGACCTGATGATTGTTATATCTCCATGACCTGATTATTGTATCTCCATGACCTGATTATTATATCTCCATGACCTGATTATTGTATCTACATGACTGATTGTTGTATCTCCAAGACCTGATTGTTATATCTCCATGACTGATTGTTGTATCTCCATGATCTGATTATTGTGTCTCCAAGACCTGATTGTTATACCTCCATGACTGATTGTTGTATCTCCATGACCTGATTGTTGTATCTCCATGACCTGATTGTTGTATCTCCATGACCTGATTGTTGTATCTCCATGACCTGATTGTTGTATCTCCATGACTGATTGTTATATCTCCATGACCTGATTGTTATATCTCCATGACCTGATTGTTATATCTCCATGACTGATTGTTATATCTCCATGACCTGATTGTTATACCTCCATGACCTGATTGTTGTATCTCCATGACCTGATTGTTATATCTCCATGACCTGATTGTTATATCTCAATGACTGATTGTTGTATCTCCATGACTGATTGTTATATCTCCATAACTGATTGTTGTATCTCCATGACTGATTGTTATATATCCATGACTGATTGTTATATCTCCATGACTGATTGTTATATCTCCATGACCTGATTGTTGTATCTCCATGACCTGATTGTTGTATCTCCATGACCTGATTGTCGTATCTCCATGACCTGATTGTTATATCTCCATGACCTGATTGTTATATCTCCATGACCTGATTGTTATACCTCCATGACCTGATTGTTATTTCTCCATGACCTGATGATTGTTATATCTCCATGACCTGATTATTGTATCTCCATGACCTGATTATTATATCTCCATGACCTGATTATTGTATCTACATGACTGATTGTTGTATCTCCAAGACCTGATTGTTATATCTCCATGACTGATTGTTGTATCTCCATGATCTGATTATTGTGTCTCCAAGACCTGATTGTTATACCTCCATGACTGATTGTTGTATCTCCATGACCTGATTGTTGTATCTCCATGACCTGATTGTTGTATCTCCATGACCTGATTGTTGTATCTCCATGACCTGATTGTTGTATCTCCATGACTGATTGTTATATCTCCATGACCTGATTGTTATATCTCCATGACCTGATTGTTATATCTCCATGACTGATTGTTATATCTCCATGACCTGATTGTTATACCTCCATGACCTGATTGTTGTATCTCCATGACCTGATTGTTGTATCTCCATGACCTGATTGTTATATCTCCATGACTGATTGTTATATCTCCATGACCTGATTGTTCTATCTCCATGACCTGATTGTTATATCTCCATGACTGATTGTTATATCTCCATGACTGATTGTTGTATCTCCATGACTGATTGTTGTATCTCCATGACTGATTGTTATATCTCCATGAATGATTGTTGTATCTCCATGACTGATTGTTGTATCTCCATGACCTGATTGTTATATTTCCATGACCTGATTTTTGTATCTCCATGACTGATTATTGTATCTCCATGACTGATTATTGTATCTCCATGACTGATTATTGTATCTCCATGACTGATTATTGTATCTCCAAGACCTGATTGTTGTATCTCCATGACTGATTTTTGTATCTTCATGACTGATTGTTGTATCTTCATGACTGATTGTTGTATCTCCATGACTGATTGTTATATCTCCATGACCTAATTATTGTATCTCCATGACCTAATTATTGTATCTCCATGACTGATTGTTGTATCTCCATGACCTGATTGTTATATCTCCATGACCTGATTGTTGTATCTCCATGACCTGATTGTTATATCTCCATGACCTGATTGTTGTATCTCCATGACCTGATTGTTATATCTCCATGACCTGATTGTTATATCTCCATGACCTGATTGTTATATCTCCATGACCTGATTGTTATATCTCCATGACCTGATTGTTGTATCTCCATGACCTGATTGTTATATTTCCATGACTGATTGTTGTATCTCCATGACCTGATTGTTGTATCTCCATGACCTGATTGTTGTATCTCCATGAATGATTGTTATATCTCCATGACCTGATTATTGTATCTCCATGACCTGATTATTGTATCTCCATGACTTGACTGATATATCTCCATGACCTGATTGTTATATCTCCATGACCTGATTGTTATATCTCCATGACCTGATTGTTATATCTCCATGACCTGATTGTTATACCTCCATGACTGATTGTTATATCTCCATGACCTGATTGTTATATCTCCATGACTGATTGTTATATCTCTATGGCTGGTTGTTATATCTCCATGAATGATTGTTATACCTCCATGACTGATTGTTATATCTCCATGACCTGATTGTTGTATCTCCATGACCTGATTGTTGTATCTCCATGACCTGATTGTTGTATCTCGATGACCTGATTGTTATATCTCCATGACCTGATTGTTATACCTCCATGACTGATTGTTATATCTCCATGACCTGATTGTTATATCTCCATGACTGATTGTTTTATCTCGATGACTGGTTGTTATATCTTCATGAATGATTGTTATATCTCCATGACTGATTGTTATATCTCCATGACCTGATTATTGTATCTCCATGACTGATTGTTATATCTCCATGACCTGATTATTGTATCTCCATGACCTGATTGTTGTACCTCCATGACTGATTGTTATATCTCAATGACTGGTTTTTATATCTCCATGAATGATTGTTATATCTCCATGACTGATTGTTATATCTCCATGACCTGATTATTGTATCTCCATGACTGATTGTTATATCTCCATGACCTGATTATTGTATCTACATGACTGATTGTTATATCTCCATGACCTGATTATTGTATCTCCATGACTGATTGTTATATCTCCATGACCTGACCTGACTGTTTGTATCTCTGTGTAGTCAGCTGACTTCTCCTGTCTATACCTCTATGTTGTTTTATGAATTCTTGTGTTTGTATCTCCATGTTGTTTTATGAATTCTTGTGTTTGTATCTCCATGTTGTTTTATGAATTCTTGTGTTTGTATCTCCATGTTGTTTTATGAATTCTTGTGTTTGTGTCTCCATGTTGTTTTATGAATTCTTGTGTTTGTGTCTCCATGTTGTTTTATGAATTCTTGTGTTTCTGTCTCCATGTTGTTATATGAATTCTTGTGTTTGTATCTCCATGTTGTTTTATGAATTCTTGTGTTTGTATCTCCATGTTGTTTTATGAATTCTTGTGTTTGTGTCTCCATGTTGTTTTATGAATTCTTGTGTTTGTATCTCCATGTTGTTTTATGAATTCTTGTGTTTGTGTCTCCATGTATTTATATGAATTCTTGTTTTTGTGTCTCCATATTGTTTTATGAATTTTTTTTGTGTGTCTCCATGTAGTTTTATGAATTCTTGTGTTTGTGTCTCCATGTAGTTTTATGAATTCTTGTGTTTGTGTCTCCATGTAGTTTTATGAATTCTTGTGTTTGTATCTCCATGTAGTTTTATGAATTCTTGTGTTTGTGTCTTCATGTAGTTTTATGAATTCTTGTGTTTGTGTCTCCATGTAGTTACCTGAGGCCAGTCAAAGTAAATGAAGTCATTACCATTGCTGCTAGGACCCTGAGCTGTGGCAAGACCATTGCTGTCAGCTGTGTTGATATCACCAACACAGACACAGGCAAACTTCTCGCCCAGGGTCGGCATTCCAAGTTTGTAGGGGAACCTGCCTCTCTCCCATCTGCTGCGGGTTCCTAACAGAGCAATCTCCAGGAGAATAACTCCTTATTGTGAAGTCTCCGTTGTCTTTATTCTCCGTGTCCACATTGTGTGATCAGAGTTCTCCGTGTCCACATTGTGTGATCAGAGTTCTCCGTGTCCACATTGTGTGATCAGAGTTCTCCGTGTCCACATTGTGTGCTCACTGTTTGTTCTCCCTGTCCACATTGTGTGCTCACAGTTTGTTCTCCGTGTCCACATTATGTGCTCACAGTTTGTTCTCCATGTCCACATTGTATGCTCACTGTTTGTTCTCCGTGTCCACATTGTATGCTCACTGTTTGTTCTCCGTGTCCACATTGTATGCTCACTGTTTCGTCTCCGTGTCCACATTGTATGCTCACTGTTTGTTTTCCATGTCTACATTGTGTGCTCACTGTTTGTTCTCCGTGTCCACATTATGTACTCACAGTTTGTTCTCCGTGTCCACATTGTGTGCTCACTGTTTGTTCTCCATGTCTACATTGTGTGCTCACAGTTTGTTCTCCATGTCCACATTGTATGCTCACAGTTTGTTCTCCATGTCCACATTGTATGCTCACAGTTTGTTCTCCATGTCCACATTGTATGCTCACTGTTTGTTCTCCCTGTACACATTGTGTGCTGACAGTTCTCCATGTCCACATTGTGTGCTCACTGTTTGTTCTCCCTGTCCACACTGTATGCTCACTGTTTGTTCTCCGTGTCCACATTGTATGCTCACTGTTTGTTCTCCGTGTCCACATTGTATGCTCACTGTTTCGTCTCCGTGTCCACATTGTATGCTCACTGTTTGTTTTCCATGTCTACATTGTGTGCTCACTGTTTGTTCTCCGTGTCCACATTATGTACTCACAGTTTGTTCTCCGTGTCCACATTGTATGCTCACTGTTTGTTCTCCATGTCTACATTGTGTGCTCACTGTTTGTTCTCCGTGTCCACATTATGTGCTCACAGTTTGTTCTCCCTGTCCACATTGTGTGCTCACAGTTTGTTCTCCGTGTCCACATTGTGTGCTCACAGTTTGTTCTTCCTGTCCACATTGTGTGCTCACAGTTTGTTCTCCGTGTCCACATTATGTGCTCACAGTTTGTTCTCCATGTCCACATTGTGTGCTCACTGTTTGTTCTCCATGTCCACATTGTATGCTCACTGTTTGTTCTCCGTGTCCACATTATGTGCTCACTGTTTGTTCTCCGTGTCCACATTATGTGCTCACAGTTTGTTCTCCGTGTCCACATTGTGTGCTCACTGTTTGTTCTCCCTGTCCACATTGTGTGCTCACTGTTTGTTCTCCATGTCTACATTGTGTGCTCACTGTTTGTTCTCCATGTCCACATTGTGTGCTCACTGTTTCTTCTCCGTGTCCACATTGTGTGCTCACTGTTTGTTCTCCATGTCTACATTGTGTGCTCACTGTTTGTTCTCCATGTCCACATTGTATGCTCACAGTTTGTTCTCCATGTCCACATTGTGTGCTCACAGTTCTCCATGTCCACATTGTATGCTCACTGTTTGTTCTCCCTGTCCACATTGTGTGCTTACTGTTTGTTCTCCCTGTCCACATTGTGTGCTCACAGTTCTCCCTGTCCATATTGTATGCTCACTGTTTGTTCTCCCTGTCCACATTGTGTGCTCACTGTTTGTTCTCCCTGTCCACATTGTGTGCTCACAGTTCTCCATGTCCACATTGTGTGCTCACTGTTTGTTCTCCCTGTCCACATTGTGTGCTCACAGTTCTCCCTGTCCACATTGTGTGCTCACTGTTTGTTCTCCATGTCCACATTGTGTGCTCACAGTTCTCCCTGTCCACATTGTGTGCTCACAGTTCTCCCTGTCCACATTGTATGCTCACAGTTCTCCGTGTCCACATTGTGTGCTCACAGTTCTTTCTGTCCACATTGTATGCTCACAGTTCTCCATGTCTACATTGTATGCTCGCTGTTCTCCATGTCTACATTGTGTGCTCACAGTTTGTTCTCCCTGTCCACATTGTATGCTCACTGTTTGTTCTCCATGTCCACATTGTGTGCTCACTGTTTGTTCTCCATGTCCACATTGTATGCTCACTGTTCTCCATGTCTATATTGTGTGCTCACTGTTTGTTCTCCATGTCCACATTGTATGCTCACTGTTCTCCGTGTCCACATTGTGTGCTCACTGTTTGTTCTCCATGTCCACATTGTATGCTCACTGTTCTCCATGTCTATATTGTGTGCTCACTGTTTGTTCTCCATGTCCACATTGTATGCTCACTGTTCTCCATGTCTATATTGTGTGCTCACTGTTTGTTCTCCATGTCCACATTGTGTGCTCACAGTTTGTTCTCCATGTCCACATTGTATGCTCACTGTTTGTTTTCCATGTCCACATTGTGTGCTCACAGTTTGTTCTCCGTGTCCACATTGTATGCTCACAGTTTGTTCTCCGTGTCCACATTATGTACTCACAGTTTGTTCTCCGTGTCCACATTGTGTGCTCACTGTTTGTTCTCCGTGTCCACATTATGTACTCACAGTTTGTTCTCCGTGTCCACATTGTATGCTCACTGTTTGTTCTCCATGTCTACATTGTGTGCTCACAGTTTGTTCTCCATGTCCACATTGTATGCTCACAGTTTGTTCTCCATGTCCACATTGTATGCTCACAGTTTGTTCTCCATGTCCACATTGTATGCTCACTGTTTGTTCTCCCTGTACACATTGTGTGCTGACAGTTCTCCATGTCCACATTGTGTGCTCACTGTTTGTTCTCCCTGTCCACACTGTATGCTCACTGTTTGTTCTCCGTGTCCACATTGTATGCTCACTGTTTGTTCTCCGTGTCCACATTGTATGCTCACTGTTTGTTCTCCGTGTCCACATTGTATGCTCACATTGTTTGTTTTCCATGTCTACATTGTGTGCTCACTGTTTGTTCTCCGTGTCCACATTTGTGTGTCTCACAGTTTGTTTCCGTTCTCCACATTGTCACTGTTTGTTCTCCATGTCCACATTGTGTGCTCACTGTTTGTTCTCCATGTCCACATTGTGTGCTCACAGTTGTTCTCCCTGTCCACATTGTGTGCTCACAGTTTCTCCATGTTCTCCACTGTCCACATTGTGTGCTCACAGTTTGTTCTCCGTGTCCACATTGTGTGCTCACAGTTTGTTCTCCATGTCCACATTGTGTGCTCACAGTTTGTTCTCCATGTCCACATTGTGTGCTCACTGTTTGTTTGTGTCCACATTGTGTGCTCACTGTTTGTTCTCCGTGTCCACATTGTGTGCTCACTGTTTGTTCTCCGTGTCCACATTGTGTGCTCACTGTTTGTTCTCCGTGTCCACATTGTGTGCTCACTGTTTGTTCTCCATGTCCACATTGTGTGCTCACTGTTTGTTCTCCATGTCCACATTGTGTGCTCACTGTTTGTTCTCCATGTCCACATTGTGTGCTCACTGTTTGTTCTCCATGTCCACATTGTGTGCTCACTGTTTGTTCTCCATGTCCACATTGTGTGCTCACTGTTTGTTCTCCATGTCCACATTGTGTGCTCACTGTTTGTTCTCCATGTCCACATTGTGTGCTCACTGTTTGTTCTCCCTGTCCACATTGTATGCTCACTGTTTGTTCTCCATGTCCACATTGTGTGCTCACTGTTTGTTCTCCGTGTCCACATTGTATGCTCACTGTTTGTTCTCCATGTCCACATTGTATGCTCACTGTTTGTTTTCCATGTCTACATTGTCCACATTGTGTGCTCACTGTTTGTTCTCCATGTCCACATTATGTGCTCACAGTTTGTTCTCCATGTCCACATTGTATGCTCACTGTTTGTTCTCCATGTCTACATTGTGTGCTCACTGTTTGTTCTCCATGTCCACATTGTGTGCTCACTGTTTGTTCTCCCTGTCCACATTGTGTGCTCACAGTTTGTTCTCCATGTCCACATTGTGTGCTCACAGTTTGTTCTCCATGTCCACATTGTATGCTCACTGTTTGTTCTCCGTGTCCACATTGTCCACATTATGTGCTCACAGTTTGTTCTCCATGTCCACATTGTGTGCTCACTGTTTGTTCTCCATGTCCACATTGTGTGCTCACTGTTTGTTCTCCATGTCCACATTATGTGCTCACTGTTTGTTTCTCACTGTCCACATTATGTGCTCACAGTTTGTTCTCCGTGTCCACATTGTGTGCTCACTGTTTGTTCTCCATGTCCACATTGTGTGCTCACTGTTTCCATGTCCTGTGCTCACTGTCCACATTGTGTGCTCACTGTTTGTTCTCCATGTCCACATTGTGTACTCACTGTTTGTTCTCCATGTCCACATTGTGTGCTCACTGTTTGTTCTCCATGTCCACATTGTATGCTCACAGTTCTCCATGTCTACATTGTGTGCTCACACATTGTGTGCTCACTGTTTGTTCTCCATGTCCACATTGTGTGCTCACTGTTTGTTCTCACTCCTCCACATTGTGTGCTCACTGTTTGTTCTCCCTGTCCACATTGTTGCTCACAGTTCTCCCTGTCCACATTGTATGCTCACTGTTGCTGTTCTCCATGTCCACATTGTGTGCTCACTGTTTGTTCTCCCTGTCCACATTGTGTGCTCACTGTTTGTTCTCCATGTCCACATTGTGTGTGTTGTTCTCCATGTCACATTGTGTGCTCACTGTTTGTTCCCTGTCCACATTGTGTGCTCACAGTTCTCCCTGTCCACATTGTGTGCTCACTGTTTGTTCTCCATGTCCACATTGTGTGCTCACAGTTCTCTCTGTCCACATTGTTGCTCACAGTTCTCCCTGTCCACATTGTATGCTCACAGTTTGTTCCCATGTCCACATTGTGTGCTCACAGTTTGTTCCATGTCCACATTGTATGCTCACTGTCTCCACATTTGTCTCACAGTGTTCTCATGTCCACATTGTATGCTCACTGTTTGTTCTCCATGTCCACATTGTGTGCTCACTGTTTGTTCTCCATGTCCACATTGTATGCTCACTGTTTGTTCTCCATG